CAAAATTGATTTGTTGCAAACAATCTTTAATCAAATCGTCTAAGACATAATTACAAAGAATTGGTGAAATGGTGGACCCCATTGGAGTACCAAAGACTTGTTTGTAGTAACAGTCATTAAAAATAAAAACATTAGAGTCAAAAACAAAAGAAATGAGTTTTTTGATATTAGATAAGTTAAGAGTTGTGTGCATTGATATGTCATCCAGTGTTTCTCAACACTAACCAAAATTGTTTGTAAAGGTAAATTAGTAAACAAAGACACTACATCAAAACTAACGAGCTTATAATTGATAGGTAATTTTAAGTTATTAATAAAATTATTCAATTGCTCCTAGATTTTATGCACTTCCAAAAATTCATAAACCTACTTTGTCTATGAGACCAATAGTTTCTCAATAGGTACACCTAATGGCCCCATAGCAAGTTTTTTAACCAATGTTCTCACAGAAACCTACAGTAACAATGATTTCTGCATTCAGGACTCTTTCAGTTTCAGTTCTTTTATTAATAACTTAAAATTACCTATCAATTATAAGCTCGTTAGTTTTGATGTAGTGTCTTTGTTTACTAATTTACCTTTACAAACAATTTTGGTTAGTGTTGAGAAACACTGGGATGACATATCAATGCACACACAACTCTTAACTTATCTAATATCAAAAAACTCATTTCTTTTGTTTTTGACTCTAATGTTTTTTATTTTAATGACTGTTACTACAAACAAGTCTTTGGTACTCCAATGGGGTCCACCTAGAACTTACTAAAATTTTCAAAGAATTTAAGAACATCAAAATTAGCTAACAAGAACATCAAAACCATACGTCAGCTATATAGCAAAATTAAAACAACCCCTAAACTACTTTAGAGTCAAGAGATGTTGTTTATTGCATTCAATGTACTGAATGTCCATCACGTACATTGGTGAAACTGGAAGAAATCTGTCTAGTCGTATCATTTCTCATAAGAGTGACTGTAGACTAAATAAACCCACTTGTGCTTTGGCAGAACACACTATCGATCTAGACCATAAGATAGATTTCAACAATGTTAAAAATTAGCCAGAGAGAAAAATAAATTTAAGAGAACATTCTTAGAAATGGTACATATCAGCAGGAGTGATAACAACAATCTGAATAAAAGAGTGCTTCATGTTTCGTAAATTCCATTATTAATTGCTATAATTATCATGATTTACTTCAGTTATTATTCAGATGTTCATTTGTTTTGGTTGTTTGTTTTTTCTAAACCTACTTACTAAATACTATTTTCTTTTTATTTTTTGACATAATAAACCTTTTTTTAAATTTCCCTCTCAACTCTAAGTTGGTAACATGGTTGGTAGTACTTAAAATCACAAACGGAATTTTGTTAGACATCAGTTTGAAAGTTTGTTTTTTGTAGTTACATCGAACTATTTAAACAACAATAGTTCCTCCTACTACCTCTTTCTTGTTCGTGAGATGTGACTGAATTCAAACCTGCGAAGACGATTGTTTTTTGTCAAACATGTCGTCTTATTTTTTACTTTTTAAACTTTGTAACATGTTCTTTAATTTTTAAGTATTTTAAAGTTTTTAAAATTTTTAATGCCTTCAATAATTCAGATCACATTATGTTATTTAACGTTGTGTTTTATATGCTATGAATCTTACTTTCTGGTAAGTTTTTATAACTTTTATATTACATCAGCCTAATGTTATAACACAGTAATTTTCATTGTAGACCTTGATAAAGGTGGCAAATAACCACCGAAAGCTCGGATTTCAGAATAAATAGTACGCCTTAGCAAAGCTCTATTTTTTTATTGACTACCACACCCAAAAAGAAAAAAGTATTTACATATTTTTCCAAACTAGTCAAAAAATTTTGGTACTACCTTATTATATATATATATATATATATATATATATATATATATATATATATACTCTGAACATATTTTCCATGAAGAATTGGAAGACGAGTCCGCTGGAATAGCGACAAATGGAATTCTTGTCAACGACCTTAGAATGCTGACGATACAGCTATACTAGCCAAAATCTAGGAGACCTCCAGAGAGTCTTTACTAAAGTATCTATGGTTAATATAATACAGTGTTTACTCCGAAAAACTAAAATTATGTACAACATACATGTAACTAGGGGAAGCAGCTGTTACTGTCTCTGCTGGGTGTAATGTATCGCTATCAAAATGCTCATTGAATAGGTTGTTAAAGTATTTCTTCTTATGGATTTTTATTATTTTTTCCTGGAACAGTGTTTTATTGTTTTTTTTTTCTTCTTAAATATGACTAATCCGATTATTTTTTTTGCTTTCTTCGCTCTATGTTTCCTATTTTATATATCTTACTTCGTTAAGATCGTTAACAAACCAATTATTATCTTTTTGATTGACATTGTTTTCTTGGTCTATTCACCAGGTTCCTTTCTTTATTCTTAAATTTCTATCCAGAAGTTTTTCCAATTTAATCATAAACAGTATATCTAATAATAATAACTATCTTTCTCCTAATTATCTCTTTCTTATATAATACAGCGTTCTTCCTCATTAATATGGAAAATTTAATATTATTTCCCTTCTTTCAACATCCACCCTTTGATCTTTTGTGGTTATCTTCGGTATTTTAATTTCGTTTCGCATCTTTAATAATAATAATCTTTATTAATTTAATATTTAATAAGTTTAATAATAAATCAGTGACTTCCTTGAGCTTGTTTTGTAGAGCAAAGTTGATCGAAACGGGATGTAATATTAGAAATAGACGTTCTCAGTTCTTTTTGTATATTTAGCTGCGATCTATATTTGGTCTTTAAAGCAGCCACCGCAGAAAATCCTGTTTCGCAAAGGTAGGATGTTGAAAACGGCAATAGTATACCGAGCACTCTGGTTTTCAGTGCACAAGCCTCATCATTTACTCCTGCCCAAAATTCAAAGAGGATTAAACTGTTTCTTGATTTCATCATTTGCCGTGAAGTCAATGAGGTTTCTTCTTCGGCAGTAGAGAGATCTTCCGGTGAAATTTGGAACGGATTCCTAACCCACTCGTAACTATGTATTAATTTGTCGTGGGCAAAAAAATATCTTTTAAAAGTTTTAGTCAGCATCGCTAAATTATTTTCAATTATTACAAAAACAACTTTCACTTGTTGTTCTTCAACCTTGTAAGTTTTAATACATTCATCCACATTTCCAAACATTTCTAGGTTTTTTTGCTTTAAATTTCTGCTCCACAATTCCAATTTTTTACAAAAACCATTAACTTTATCACTCGTATCCAATATATGTGTATTGGCTGCTTGAAGCTGAATGTTCAAAATATTTAGTTTCTCGAATATGTCAACCAAGTAGCTTAATTTCATCAAAAATAATCTCGAAACATCTCCGCTTCCGGTCTATTTTCTTCTAGAAAAATAGCGATTTCATGTCTTAATACAAAAAAACGTAAAAATTTTCCACGTGATATCCATCTTGCCTCACAATAAAATAATAATGCTGAATGTAATGCACCCATGTCTTAACAAAGTGCAGAAAATATTCTGGTTTTCAAAGGGCTCATTTTTATGTAATTAACTACTGTTACAACCATTGTTAGCACAATATTCAGGCCAGGAGACATTTCTTTACACAATTCTTCCACTCTATTTTTGCTTCATTTATATAATCATTTAAGATGGCAAATAATGCTAGCAACGTTGCTTTCAGTTCTATTGGTTTGTTAAAAAGCAGTTCTTCTACTAATGATATGCCATCACAAAATCGAACGTAGGCAATAAAATAAGCATCTTTATTGCTATCTGTTGCCTCATCAAGCTGAATCGAAAACAGCTTGTCGCGCAACTCCCGAGTAGCTGATCCTGTACATCTACAGCTATGTCACAAATTCGACGGGCAACAGTATCATTTGATATAGGTATAGACTAAAATTTTTGGCAAAATTATCTCCAAACATAGTTTCTAGAATTTGAAATGCAGCTGGCGAAATAAGCTCTTCACCAATACTGTGAGGCTCTTTACATCTAGCTATTTGATGGGGGGTTTTATAAGAGGCAAGTGAAGCTTTTTCATTCACAGTCAAAGTTTTTTTTTAAAATGATTTTTGTTTTTCATGTTATTTTAATTTTAACTCGAAGAATTCTCGGGGTTGATTAATGCACTCACTATGAAGCGTTTCCAAATGTCTTTTAAGTTTATTTGGTTTCATGCTGTCGGCTGTTAAAATTTTTTAGCAAATGATACATAGAGGCCGTTCTAATCTTGAGAATATTTTCTTGATTTTATTTTTGGAACCACTCTCGCCTGTACACTTTTTGATGCTTCACTAGTATCGAATGCTCGCTTACTCCCATTTAAAAATTTATCCATGATTTTGTATAAATTTAAGTAAATTTACCTACTGTTTGGAATATTTTAATACCGTGAACTGCAATTAATACACGCAAACTGCAACATAAACATTCACAATAAATTTAACAGGTGCAGAAGGACTGACTGGACTGACTAAACTGACTCGACTGGACTAAGGTCTGGGTCTGAGGAGGAGAGAGGAGAACTCGGAACTTCTCGCGAAGAGAGATGATCGGTTCTGGATTGGTGTTGCCACGTATCAATAAATTTACTTATTCTCGGTAATTTGGTAATTAAGGTTTTACTGTAAGTTTAGTGCAAGGGCGGATCCAGAGAGATTGGCTAAAAAATTTGACAAATAAATATACTTTCATAACAATAAGGTTTGATTGTCTTTATGGCACTTAAGTGTGTGAAAAGTGCCTTAAAAAAACTCCACCCCCCCTAAAAATCGGTCCTGGATCATATATTTTTATTATATGAGGGGGGGGGGCGCGGTGAAAATAAATATATAAAATTAGGTCGTAACTGGTAAAAGGTTGAGAAATGCTGCGCTAAGGAATTCAACATTAATTTTTAATTAACCATATACATTTTATTGTTAAAATATTACCAATGGTGATTGCAAATATTGAAGACTATGTTTTTTTACAGATTGAATATGGATCCAGGTATAATATGTTTTCAGCACTGTGGTCCAAAAATTTTTTGTTTTACCCTGCCAGAAGCTTGCCCAGCGTGCCAAGAAGATTTAGAAACTGCGAATTTTTCACTCTTGCCATTCAGGTAATAATATATTATTAATCATAATTTTATGCTAATACTATGTTCAAGTGAGGCTTCATGCACTGATGACTATTTCAGGGTTAACAGCATTATAGGTTAGAATAAACAAGCTACTAGTATTGCAAGCTTGGAAAAGTCTTACAGGTATGAGTATGGAGTTAACAGATGCACTTGAGTATAAATTGCTTGCTTTCAAGAGACAAAGTGGAAGGGATAAACTAGATAAAGGATATAAATTCTAGTATGTAGGGAAAAATATCACAAAGAATGGAGTTCGAATAATTGCCTGATGGAGAAATGAAAGAAGTAGAAGATTATTTTATATATGTATTGGCTTTGGCATAGCCAATTAGCCACAAAGTAGATGTTAAGTAGAAATTTGCCAAATCTCATCGATTCAAATAATTTTTAAAAATTCCAGTAAAATTTTTTGAAATATTTTTAATTTGCAGGTATGAATTGTAATTTCATTTACTTTTTTTTGATTGTAGGGTTCCTTATCCTTTTATAAAAGCATCTCAATACCCTTGCTCAGTAGTTATTAAACCAACGACAGGAGATTTTCTAAAGTAAGTATATACATTATAACGTTGTATCAGTATTACTTATATCAAAGCAAATGTGTTTAACTTTAAAAATTGATAGATGCAGAATATTTACTACAATATCGGATTATGACTTGAAGAAAATCACAAAACCTGATGTTTGAATTCTATTTGCGATCTAATCTTACCAATTAACACTGGAGTTTGTAAATGACGGAGGTTTAAATTTCATATCAATTTTAACTGTTCAACATGGTTTAAAATATGAACTAAATATATTGAAGATATTTTCATGGACACAAGAACGAAACCACACAAATTGATAGCGGGAAAGCTCCAAAAATATTAAAATCTGAAGTTCAACATGCTATAAACAACTCAAAATCTGGCAGAGCTTCCGTTCCAGATAAAATTCACATCGAGCTGATTAAACTTATAGATGAAGAGAATTCTAGAGTAATAACTATCCTCTTGAACAATATATACAACTTTGTTCCGCTACAAATTGATCAACTTAATGTCACAATTGTTGAAAATATTTTTAAACGTTATACATGCAAGAATATTCAGAAAGTGTGAACCAGATATGAGTAATAGACAGTTGAGGATTTCGTAACGGCTTCGAAACAGTAGAAGCTCTGTATACTTTCACAATTCTTGCTCAAAAATGTTGAGACCAACAAAAAGATCTTTTAGACTATGAAAATACTTTCGACAAAGTTTAACATAACATTCTCATGAAAAGTTTAAAGCGAAAAGGACTCGACAAAAATGATATGAACATAGTGAGAAATCTCTATTGGAACCAACAGGCTGTGATAACATTAAATGGAAATAGCACGGATCCGCAACGGAAGTGGAAGTGTGAGACAAGGTGTACTTTCACCATTACTATTAAATATATACTCCGAAGAGTTATTTACACAAGCACTTAAAAACTGTACAGAAGAGGTCAAGACGAATGGTGAAAATATAAATAACTTTCGTTATGCCGACTATACAGTCATTATCGCTGAAAGTGAGAAAGACCTGCAGACGCTACTAAACATAATTTGTAATATTGGGGTACAGTTTGGTTTAACAATAAACATAAAGAAAACAAAAACCATGGTTATCAGTAAAATGGGTAAAGTTATAACAAGGATCCAGATGAAAAATGAAAATATTGAACAAGTGGACAAAATGAAGTACTTACTTACAGGAGTCTGGATTACTCAAGATTTAAATCAAAATTCAGAAATTTGATCAAAAATCAGTGAATATGCATGGAATATGCTTTCCAGAGCTGTTTAGTCCTGAAGGAATCCTCCTAGGACCCACCATGAACTTACAATTGCCTGTAGAGAAGAATGGGAGAATCTGCCACAGGAAATTATTGATCGGCTTGTTAGTAGTATTAGAGCTCGAATCCAGGCTTGCATCGATGTCTGTGGTTGAAATTAATGATATTAAAATTGTTAAATACATACATTTTAATTAGAAATAATTTTTTTAATTTTTAATTTTTTATGTATTAAAAAGCAGTATCTCTTTTAAAACAAAAAAGATCTATCAACGTTATATTTTTTTATAAATGATCTAATAACAGTTATTACTGAAAATAGTTAATGATAACAAAAGTTTAGGGTGATGTATATGTAACTCAAAATTTATCTTCGCTGAATATAGAAAAAGAACTAGGTGGAATAATGAGGATAAGGTAGAGGAACACAATGAAAATTTTATAAGTAAACAGTTATTTAGGTTTCTTGAGGCTGTTATTATTATTTAATTAAAAGAAGTGATAGTAGAACTTATAAGCAAAATTAAATCAATCCCAAAATTAGAAAATAAAATCATTATCACTTAAGAATAATGAAGAAATTGAAGATGCTATTAACTTGATTACATATCAATTGAATGAAAAGCCAACAGAACACTATGAAGGAAAAAAAAAAAACTTATTTTGAAAAACATTTTCGTCTATTCGAGTGTTAAAATCCTCCAGCATTATTATCTATCCTCCGACTTGATCTACTACTAGTAATTCGTCGTAAAATGTTTCCCTTGTTGTTGGAGAGTTGTTATTTTCTGGACCGTATCCCCGATGATGTTCAGGTATTCCTTCTCGATCCTTATTTTTGCTGTTAAAATCCTTTCTTATACGTATTGACACTCTGATATGATTTTGGTATCTTTGGTGTATTAGTAAGGGTACATCTTCTTTGATATAAACGTCTAGACAAAAAATTAATAGAATTCAGATACAGAACATCGAAGAAATATACGAGCATATTATAAAGACAAGTATAAAACAAGCAGCCTTCGAAGGAGATGGAGAGAATGAACATATAATAAATAAACAGCACTATTATAAAATAAATGAACCAACAAAAAGAATAATTGGGGAAATAAGCAACTATACAGAAAATGGCTGACTACAATGATGAAGTTTGTAAAAAATACAAAAAAAGAGATAGATAAGTGAAAAAACAAATAACACAACAAAATAATGATGAATGGGAAAGAACCTGCTTACATATTGAAACATACATAGGAGGTACAAGAACTTCGGAGTCATGGAAAGTACTGAGAGGATTGAAACAAAAGTCAAAAGAAAAAATTAAATTGGGAAATATACAGGACAAAGAATGGAAGGACTATTACAAGGAACTGTTAACAAAGACCACGATTCATTGGAAAAGAAAACATGTAAAGACGAAGCAGATCCCCACAACAAGAGGTAGAAATAACAGATAGGAAAGTGAGCCATAAATAGGGCCATAAAAGCACCGAGACCAAGAGGCATCTCACTTGAGCTTATATAGTACGGCTCAAAAAAATTACCACGGATGATAAAGTGGATATTTCAGAAAGCCATAAATGAAAAACAGCTCCCAAAGGAATGGACGGAGGCATATATGACATCTATAGTTAAGAAAGGAGATATAAAACGATGCGAAAACTACAGAGAAATAAGCGTCATGTGATCAATAGGAAGATTATATGGGAAAATACTGCGAGAATACATACAGCAAGCGATAAAAGGTAAAATGGGGCAGGCTTTACCGCAGGAAGATCATGCATAGATCACATATACATACTGGAACAACTGTTGGAAACAAAGCAAAAAATAGAGACATACATTGGGCATTAGTGGACCTGAGAAAGGCGTATGACTCTGTACCAAGGTCAGAACTATGGGAGGCAATGTACAAAGTAGAAATACAGACGGAACTCATAGAAGCTACAAAAGCTCAGTATAATGAGAGTCTAGTATGTATTTACTTAATTTTGGTTGTCCTTTTCCTTTCTATTTGTATTTCCCGTAGAACGCATGTGTCTATTAATTTCTCTTTCAGCTCCTTTTCTTTCTTAATTGAGCAATCCGATATTATCTCCAGAAGTTAGTTTTGTCAAACATTAAAATATAACTTTATTTTTTTTAGCGATTACCACAATTCAAAAGATTTGCACATAGGAGTTACTACCTCAGATGGCAAAATTGTAGAATTCGACAGACACGGTCTTAGATGCCACAGAAGTAATCAATGGAGCCAATGTTTACTACTAGAACAAGTTCCTGGACCCTGGCGAGACCACTGGGACAACGTTCTAAAAAAAGTCTGCTCTCAAGGATTTTGGTCCTCGGAAATATACAAAGAAGATACTCATAACTGTTTTACGTTCGTCTTGACATTTTTAGTTAATTTAGGTTACTATTCTTTAAGTGCTGCTGCAAAAAGTAAAACGGTTTTTTGTGAAAAATTTATTATTCCTAGAACCAGCTCCGCTGGAAAATATATATCGGTGTATAGGAGGTTAAAATCCGGCATTTATATTCATAGGATCCAAAAATATTAACCATATAAGGTAACGATTCTTCAAAATAATTCAATATCTCCAATATTAGAACTGGTATAATGATTAAGACTTTTAATTCTAAAATTTAATATGGCGCATAAAGAAAATGGGTATTGGCAATATGTTGGAACCAACTTAAATATATATTACATACATATATTTTTAGATTACCAACAGTAATCATATATCATTTTGAAACTCAATGATGAGTGGTCACGTTCCCCCGTCACCTTTATCACGTATTGTAACCTTTTACGTAATTTAATTTGATTGAGATTAGTTATGTCACTTGTAGATCTACTAAATTTAGCCCCATAGGCAAAGTAATGAAGCAGTAAAAAGCCCAAAACCTACCAAATGTTTGCAGTAGGACGAATCTCATCAAAACTTTTTGAATTCAATTCGTATGGGTGTCTGGAAATTGTGTGAACAAAAATGATGATGTGGAAATGAAAATTGGATTATTGAACACAAAAAATGTATTTTCTAAAGATGATTTCGAAGTGATGAAAAATGAAAAATTTGTAATTCGAACATAATTGACGGAAACTAGTTTAATATTACTACTCGGGGGATTTTGGTATTACTGAACACGAATATCATGACCGGCTTCCGAGATACCTGGTGCTCGTGGGACCCATCTAGGAGAGGTTTGTGGAAATTCGTCAGTCGGGAGTTTTTGGGATCGCTAATCACGAAAATGATAACGGTGATGGTCTCCGATGCCTCTGGTACCAGGCCGAGGCTAATGACCCGGAGTTTTGTGGAAATTCGATACAAGATTAGTTTTTGGTGTCGCGGAACACTAATATTATGTTGGCGATGGTCTTTGAGTGACCTGTGCCCAAGACGGAAGTGTTATGGAATTTTTATATGTTAATGTTATGGAAATTCGATACAAAATCAGGACACACTCGTTAATAGGGGCTTTTTGGGAATATGATAACGATGATGGTCTCTCGATGTTTTTGGTGCCCAGGACGGGCCTCTTCTCCAGGAGTTTTGTGGAAGTTTGATATAAAATCAGCGCAAACTCGTTACTTGGGGAATTTTGAGGGCGCTGAACAATAATATGCCAACAATGATGTGCGACCACCTGGTGCTAGCATTGGCTTCGCCTCCTGAAGTTTTGTGAAATTCAATAAAGAATCAGTGCGTACTCGTTACTTGGGGGATTTTGGGGTCGCTGATCATGAATATCATGACGGTTATGGTGAAACCCAAATGTCGATGGATATGTCAGAGTGTGAAAACCAACAAAAACTTTTGTTAAACAGAATCTGTATTACAAGGATCTGGAAAAAAGAAGAAAAGAAAAATCAAACACCATAAAAACGAAAATAGACAATAAAACAACATAACATGAAACGGACCAAAAAGGGTACCAAGAAAAAAAATTGATGGAAAAAGCGGTAAACTAGATCGTACGGCACTCAACAGATGATGCGTGCAATATATAGTGTTTTCTTTAATAACTTTTAAAACACTGTAATTTACCCTTTGCTTCAATGATAGAGCTCTGTATCGTTATACTGAAAATAATGATCCATCTTAACCTATGTTCATCATACTATCAATTGGTGTCACATCCACACTTCCCCAAATATATTCTTTTTTTAATTTGATTTCCTGTTCCATATGTCCACCAAATATAAATTTTTACGTACTTAAATTAAAATCGGTAAACTAATTTTCAAAACCAAATTCAGATTTTTGTTTTAATATGTGCCTTCTAAGAATTGCAAGGCAAAACAGACGTTGATAACTCTGTTGATAATCCAAATTGGGTTTCGAAAATTAGTTTACGGATTTTAATATCAGATGTCGCTATTTGCGTCCATTCGAAGCCATGTTGAGTTGCTTTCTAGAAGCCATTGCCGTTCTGACGAGGCCTATTAGACTATACGTGAAATTGAATCTTACTTAAATTAAACTTTATTGTTAATAAACATTTACATTTATACTATGACAAAATTTGTTTCATATTTGTTGTTTAAACAAGTTTAGTTTATTTATTAAATTATAGTAAATCATGGACGTGTAAACATAGATGGATACAGCAATAAGATACCTTTAACACACAATATTTTGAAGCTTCGATAGAATGTGATGCTTCCGCAATAAGCATAAGCGTGCTTGAATTTTTACTCGCAGGTAATTATTCAGATTTTAAAAATTGGAAATAGTAATAATGTATAAAAACACGTTCAAAGGATTAAAAAAAACGAGAAACTATTAACAAATCACGTCTTTATAGAAAAATTAAAATACAATTTTATTTGCTTTTAAGTTAATTTTTTAATAGGTATCAAAATAATGCTACAATAAAAATCTTTATGTTTTCTCCTAAATTTGCTACCCAAATAGTTCGATCGTCAATATTATTTGGAAACCTACATAGAAAAATAAATGAGTTTTATTCATTTCACTAATTTATTTGTATCCATGAGAAATATTAAATTAAAAAGGCACTAAACAGATCTTTTTTAATCAGATGATATCTGCTTACAATTTAAAAATGTCTACTAATTTCATGAACTCATATCTTATTTAATACATTAATGAACATGAATAAACCCAAGGGTACGCCTATTAAAATGTAAGCAAACACGCTTCCTCATTTCCTCATCTTAAATAATGTAAATTGTATGTACTTACAAATGAAATGAGAGATCGGGATGTAAATATTTCGTTTATTTTATTTCACTTTTCACAAATATCACTCAAAATGCAGCCAAAATATCGAAAAACAACTTTTCCTTATCTACTGTAAAAAGTAAACAAACATGGAACAGCATTTGAAGTTTGATGTAGATCCATAAGACAGAGAAATGTAAACAACCGTTGCCATTTATGAATAGTTTTCAGTACTTCTGCATATAAAATAATTGATTGGTATCTATTATACGCTATTATTAAATGATAATGCACACTATGTGCGCACTTGATATTTTGATTACAATTAAATATATTAATCTAACCAATAAATTATTATTTTGGTTTGATAGCACCTTTAGAGTATAAATTACGGAGTAATATTTTCAGCGACTCGCGAATAAGAAATTTTAAAACAAAACGTGACAACAGTTGAAGGTGCTGAGAATGTGACCTATTCAAATAATTTTGACTACACAATTTTATGTGAATAACTGAGTCCATCTGTGTTTATACGTCCATGTATAGTAAATATTGATATATTACGTACCTGTTGTAGCAATTTTGTAGCAGTGTCAATGACCAAAACAATAGAGACATATAGATTTAATTAAAAACATTATACGCTTCTGATAATGGAGAAATTGTTTACTTCTGTGTTATATAATGAAATATTTTATATATGTTCCTCCATTACCTTACGTTCTTGAAAAATCCTTGTGACTTGAAATGTAGCTAGAATACCAAAAGTATATTGTAGTAAAGTAATATTATACTAACATGTTTTATAAAATATTTATGTCTCCCGAAATTGAATAAAAGTTAAATAAAGTAAAATATAAGGGACATGTGAAGTGATTTTTATTTGTCTTTTGTTACTATAACAATTGCTGTCTACATTTTTCTTCCTACACCAAGACCTGATGGTGTAAAAGTATTGGTGAGTAGCTTATTAAGAGGCTACATCAGCGCGTCATCAAGACGGAAAACGCGTTCTAAGATTGCAGCTTTAATTTTAAATATTTTGACGAGATATTTGACACACATATAAGTGATATAGTAAAGAATGGCGGTACGAAGCCCAATTTGAGAAATATGTTAGTAAGTGGAAATTACTCTATAACTAAATAAAATATTACAAAAACGAGTTTTTACCGCCATTAAGAAAAACAAAAAAATACACTTTCCTCAAATAAACTTTTTTATCCCAAGCCTAGATTTTGTGTCACATTAGAATTACTAAAATCAACCAAAATCAATTACCTATAACAAGAAATCGAACTGAACTGAGTGAGTTGGCAACATAGAGAAATAGTCACCGCTATCACATTTGCACTTCTACGTCTGTTTTCTGTGTAAGTGATAGCACGATTCTGCTCTGTTATCTATATCGATAGCTGTTCATGCAGTAGTGTATTATTTTCAAGATATTGAAATTCGAGTTTTGATTAATAGTGAAGTAGTGTTTGTTTAAAATTAATTTATTATATTTGGGTAATAGAACTGAGTTGTCGTACTATTTGAAAAAAAAAATAGATTATTATTAATTGTGGGTTGTTAAAGTCTATTTTACGTAAAAATATTTCAAATTCTAATGCGAGTATATAGTCTTAGGAGGATTTTTTATTCTAGAAGTATAAGTATTTTTGAAAATGGGAAAAATTTCACAAGCGAAAATTAAAAGTACAAATGCCAATTTTTTCAGGTAGATAGATATTCATTGGCGACAATATTTCCGAACTTCCGAATATTTTTTGTTTGCGATACGTCAGAATTGATGTTATGAATCAATCTGTAGTTCATCTCTTACGGCTAAACTGTTTGATATATACGTTAAAACTTATAAGTAGAACTCGGATCGAGCGAGCAATTTTCAGGGTAGTATTTCCTTTATAGATACTTCATTTGTTTAGATGTATACATTATTAATTTAGGTGATATATTGGGACTGCTTGTGCATTCACTAAGCAAAAACCAAACGAACCAAACTTCTCGACATTGAAGTGCAGCAGTTGAAGTGGCGGTATTGGGTCATTGACAAATGGATAATCGACAGTCTATCAGACAACTACCTCGTGCATCTGGTCTATGAGCATATAGTGTTTATCGAATTATAAAATACTATAAATTTTATCCTTATAAAATACGATTACTTCATCAATTAAACGAAGATGATCCTGATCATCGACGTCAAATTTGTGAAGAATTTAGTGAAATCATAAAAACAACCAACATCGATTGTACGTGTTTTTCCGACGAGTGTACTTTTATGTTAAATGGTGAAGACAATAGACATAATTGTCGTTATTTGAGTAACAGTAATCCTCATTTATTCATTGAGACACATACACAAACACCTCAGAAACTAAATGTATTGGTTGGAATTTTAGGGAATCACGTTATTGGACTATTAGTTTTTTAAGGTAATCTCAACGGAACAACTTATTTAAATTTGTTAGAAGACGTTATTGATCCGCTGTTCACTGACACATTGGAACCTGATGATAATCTTGTAAACGATAAAATGACTTCCTAACAGGACAAGGCATCCCCACATTATGATATACGCGCAATACAATTTTTAAATCAACAACGGTTTCCAGGGCTTTGGATTGGCAGAAGGGGTCCAATGGAGTAGTCGGCCAGATAACCGGATCTTTTGCCTTTCACCCAATATCAAAAATATATGCCACTCCGTCTGTAGATCTTACCGAGTTCCGACAAAGGATTGTGACAGAATGTCGATTATTCAGACCGGAGGTATTTGCAAATGTACGAAGGGGCTTTGAAAATATACTGTATTATTCTATGGAGGTCACAGGAGGTCATTTCGAACATAGTAGGTTAATTTGATGAAATTTTATGTTTTTTGTTATTACTTATGTTCAACCAATAAATTAGCAAACATTATCTTCAGTTATTTCGTAAATTATTTAATTTTGACAAACTCTTGGTTTCTGAGTTTCTGGGACGGCCAAATTTTCGTTGACATACACACTGTATATTATTATTAAATTTATGATAGGTACTTACTAATTCTTGAGCTACGATGTTTTATACTAATTTTCGTAAAAAAGGTTTGTTAAAATTTATATGCTTATGTTTATGATTTTTTATATAATAAATAAATAATAAAATATTTTCATAAAATGGTTAAGCTTTTTGTGCGTTTCTTTATGCTTTTAAATCCGATCCGAACTCTAATTTTATTATCCCAATATTGTGCCTTCGTCTTTCATAATGTCACGTACTGCCGACGCACTGTTGCCAGAGATTCGCAGAGCTTTTGAAAGACGGTGCGGCCACCATTTCTCGAATTAATATTGTTGACGCGCTGATGTAGCCTCTTAAGAAGTACTTATGGGAATCCATCTCCTCCCGTCAGTGGAGAAAAACCGAAGGCCTTTAACAACGTAAAACAGCGCTGCAGAGCTACAAGAAAATTTTTGGAAAATGGGCCCTTTGTTGACAAATTTCTAGATTCATCTTCTTCCTTCTTGTATGTAGGATTTAAAACCTGTTTCTTCCTCAATATGAGCCTTCTAAATTTAAATTGTCGCATTATCTTTTTCTTGGTCTGTTTCGTGAATCTATTTCGTGAATTATCTCCTGCTACTCGTACTATTCTATCCTCTGTCATTTTACTGATGTGTTCGTTCCACTCCTGTGTTCGTTTTGTCACCCATCCATTTATGTCTTTTATATTGCATGCTCTTGTGTTTTACCTTCTCTTTCTATCCAACAGACATTTCCCTGATGTTGGTTGGAGTATTTTCATCTGTTGTTTCTAGTAGTTGACTCGTTTTAGATGTGTCAGGTCTTGTCTCCGTTGTGTATGTTAATATAGATCTAATTTCTTCTTTATAGATTCTAGTTTTTGTGTCTTGTCTTAGGTGTTTGTTCTTCCAAATTGTGTTATTAAGAGATCCCGCCACTTTACTTGTTTTTAAGCTTTTTTGTCGTACTTCTTTAACATCTCCGTAAATAGTTATATCTATTCCCAGATATCTAAACTTTGCTTCCTGCTTTATTATTTTCCCATCAATTTCGATTTTACACGTTAGCCCCAAGAGTTGTCATACATTTGGTTTTTTCTGCTGATGTTATCATATTGTATTTCTTGGCTGTTGTATTGAAGAAATGTGTTAATCTTTGGAGCTCGTCTTCTATCTCGGCGATTAAAGCGCGCCGTCTGCATAACATAATATTTGGATTTCTTTGTTCCCCATTCGGTAGCCATGAACTTTACGTACTGCTTGTATTATTTCGTCCATTATTATATTAAAGAGAAGTGGGCTTAACGAGTTACCCAGTCAAACTCTGCTTTGTACTGGTATACACTGTGTTAGTTTTCCATTGATCTTTGCCTGTATTCGATTACGGAAGTAGATGTTTTCGATGGTTTATATAATATTGATTGATATGTTTCTTTTATATAGTAGGTGTAAGACGTCTTCGACTTAGATGCGATCAAACTCCTGTGTCAGGTCTATAAAACATAGATATGCTGGTTTATTGTACTCGATGGCCTTTTCTGTGATTTGTCTTAGTACAAATATGGCGTCTACGCAATATCTTCTGCATCTTAATCCTTGTTGTTCATCTTATAAAGTTGTTAGTTTATTGCTTTTGTTGGTTAGGACTTTAGTGGTAAGCTTGAGTGCGGTGTTCAGTAGATTTATATCCCTATAATGGTTGGGGTCTTCTTTATCTCCTTTCTTGAACATTAATATCATTATGCTGTTTCTCCATGCTTCTGGTATCTTGCAGTGCAATATTGGTTTTTGTATAAATTTTGTCATCTCTAGGGTTATATTTTCTACTCCGTGGTTTAGAAGCTCTTTGGTTATTCCGTCTGGTCCTGGTGACTTTCTATTTTTGAGTGAAATTATGGCTATTTATACTTCCTGAAATCTGATTTCTATTTCGTGTCTTAATTCAGGTACGTTACTGTGTTGATTATTATTTTCTTTTGCTTTAAACAGTTCCGTCAGGTATCTTTTCCATTCGTTTGCTGATATGTTATTGTATTCCTTCAATTCTGTAATTTTTTTCCGTTGGTTTATTATGAATCTCCATATTTGTCTTTGTGTACCGTAGAAGTCGCTTTCCATCCTTTTTGTAAACTGTTTCCAGTTTGTTCTTCTTACCAACTGCTTTGTTTCATTTCTTATTCTTCTATAGTTGTCTTGGGATTCTGGGGTATTTGATTTGTTGTACTTCGTGTAGTCGTTCCACAGAGATTCTACATTGAATTTTTTCTCGGTGATTGCCTGTAGAATTTTTTTTGTGTTATTTTCATTCTTATCATTGCTAGTACTAGTTTGTGGTCACTCTCTGCGTCTGCTGAGTTTAAAGTTCGGATATCTAGAATTTGCTTTGGGTAGATTTTTCTATTAGTGACTATAAAATCAATCATCGATTTGTGCCCTCTGGAGTTTTTAAATGTATATTTATACTGGAGCTTTTGGTCGAAAAATGTGTTATTGATTCTCAGTTCGTTAAAAGCACAGAAATTAGTCATGAGTTCTCCATTTGCTTTGACATGGTTTTCATTAAACTGGTGGTAAATATTACATGATGACTTTCGGTTGCACAGATAAGTGCATTAATTTCAATTATTATGGAGGACAGGAACTCTATTTTATTGATAACAATGAAGATTACTCTCTCTAAAATGAACTTCTAATCTTAGAGTTTAGTATTAATGATATTCCTATGTTTTAACTGCCTGCTGTCTTTGTGCCTTTTTGAATAGAGGGTGGTTAAATGGATATGCGAGTTGTATATGCAGGAGCAATGTAAAGCCAGCTTCAAAACAGGTTAAAGACGCAAGTGGTGTGACTGAACATGAATGATGTGTATGTGGACATAATGCCAAGGAAAATCTTAAAATTAGAAATAATACAAAAAAATTATTCTTTAAAATTAATCAAACCTTTATTTATTTAAATTAAAAACGCGATTATTTAGACATTAACGTTATCAATCCATGGATAAACGTCTGGACAAGGAACACAAGAGTCCATGTTTCTGTCTTCATTTCCTTTTTTAAGTCTGCAGGGGTGAGGGTCGCAATTGGCTGGATCAGGTACGGCATCAGTTTTAAAATCGGCAAGCTTAACGGGATTTTTGGTAAAAGCAAGGACCTAAAAATATTATACATATAAGTTAAAAATATTCCTTTCTTTACTTTGAGTTTATCAAATCGTGATAGGCTGAAGGTAATTTGAAAGATATAAGGCACATCGTATATACATGTGCATGTGCAACGAGTAGGAGCGAAATGGATCATATTGCTCTATTCTAATTTATTACCTTATTTCATTAATGACTACTCGTCAGTGAATAAATAAAGTGAATCAAAAAGAGTTTTTAATATTTCACCATGCAAAAAAGCCGGTGCTTACACCGACCATTACGAAAAAAGGCTTCAATGGGTTAAAGATAACAAATATTGAACCACTATGACTAAAAGCAGGTAAATATCATTACTTAGCGTTGTTTTTTTTTTCTACGTAATTTTTAATTGATTAAGTAGTCAAAGATTCTAAAATAATAATATTCCAGGTTTTTTTCGCACGAATCTATCGCGCAGATCCTCAAGCACAGACCTGAATTTGTAAGAAAAATACCTAGGGGAAAATATAAAGAGGATTTATTGTAAGATCGATATTCCAACCCTTGAGTATTTTCGTGTGACTCATCATAAGTAGCCAAGAAACTGATAGAGACTACTGTTTAATAGAACGTGAAAACACTTGTTGGTCTTCACTTTTGCGCTGGTTCACTGGTAAATAGATTTGAATTGAAACGCTGTGGACTGTAATTTTGTTTAATATTAATAGAATAGAGATGTTGCAAATCTAGATATCTGCACACTCTTACTTCATACTTCTAACTAAAAATGAAATGCGCATAACCAAGCGCGGTGTTGGCATGGTAGTAATTCTCGAATACGAGCTTCACGTTTATGTAAGACTTGGCGCCTTGTCAACATTGTTAGCTAATTAATAACCAACACAACTTCATTTCAAGATAAGTTGACGTCATATGAAATGTAATTTTTAGATTCCTCATGTCAGTTCATTTATTGTCATGTAAATTATAGAATGTAGAAAGCACAGATTTGGCATGTTCCTGAATTGATTTCGAACAAATTATTTTTAAAATAATTGCTAATATGACAGAAAGATTTTGTTTCACTGACAGCTCACCACAAGTTCGCTAAAAAGGATAAAATACGTATAATAGAATGGTGATGTTCTGTATTGAAATTAAATCTTAACTGTCTTTCGTTTTCACGTTACCAAATTCTTCGCTGCTAGAGATACAGGTGTTTGACTGGCTAGGCAATTCGCCAGATTTGAATCCAATAGGAAATCTTTGGAAGCTAATGAAAACAGAAATATCTAAGGAAATTATAACCACAAAGTGTCGGCTGATCGATCGTTTTATAGAAATATGGCACAAGATTAAAACAATTCAACAAAACTGCTAGACAAGCATAGAAAGTGTGCCAAGAAGGTTACAGGCAATCATTCTTGCAACAGGTATCACTACCAAGTGAACTGCTAACTGCAAAAAGGGGACATCTGCATAAAAGTAAATTTTACAGGAGAAGGTAAAAACTAAATAATTATATATCCAAATCACTTAGAATCAGGAAACTTGGTATACATGTTCAATATAACTTTATATACAATGATGTAAATAAGTGGTAAATAATTTTAATTATATTGGTATAATATTCACATTTTAATGTTGTGTAGAAGTCCCCTTTTTGCAGTTAACTGTAATTCAAATAAAAATTATGAGGAATAATTTAATAATATAAACACTACTTGCCAGAAAACACCTTTATTTGCCATTATAATCAAGTAATATAAAGTACCAGTTCTATAAGTAAAAAACTAGGAGTAGAAAACAGTCGATAGTATTAATTGTCAACTTGGTGGACAGTGGGCCATTCTGTTATTTCCCTCCAAAATGGGATATTGTCGTCGTCGATGAATCTTAGCATTTTTCTAATGTCTTCAACCTTGGATGCCATTAATGGGCGTTTTTCAGAGTAAGCTCGCGTTGAAGGCAAAACTATCACTTCTTCGGTTATTTTTCGAAGGTTAAACTTCTCAGATATGGCACCATTAATGAACTCACTGCATGTGAGGATGCCAGGTTCCGCTCTATCGCATTTCATGTGATGGTAAGTTGAAATTTGAAATCTTATTTTTCTTTCCTTGGGAACTTTTATACCACAGGATGAGTTACTAAGACACGTTTTTTTATAATAACGTGGCCACCAATTACCGAAGTCGAGAAAAGCATCGTGTCTCAGCAGATGTACTCGAAATTTTGACGGGTTTTTAGAAGCACTCATTATCACATTAAGAATTTCTTCTATCAGATACAGCCTGTCAATTTTCTTTAGCTTCCTCTTGATCAAGGCAAAATCTCGATCACACGGCATGTATGAGTGACCCCTAATCGGATAGAGCAATTCAACGCTGTCAAATTTACCTAGTTCAACAAGTGTCATGATAAACCTTGCAATAGGATGGTTTTTATTTTGACCAGCGCAGTTATCAGCAAAAATTTTCAATTTTTTTACGTGAGGGTCACATAAAATGTATGTCTCAATATAATTACTCAACAGACTTAAAACCTCGTTTGGGCCTTTGCCACCCTCTCCTTCGTGGTAAACATAGCAGACCATCGTTCCATGTTTCAAATTATGAATTCCGAAAACACTAACTGTCAATTTTCTGTAATAGTAGAGATCTTGCACAGGTATAATAGGTAAAGATATATTGGCCATGAAATCTATTGCAATTGCGGCAGTTGTTTGGTCTTTATCCTCCCGTTCTGCTCTGAGGTAATTATAAAATTTTTTGCTCCTTCGCTTATGAACTAGCAACTCAGCAACAGCCACTCTTTTTGCGTTGTCATTTAAAAATTTATTTTTAATTTTTAGTGATAACTCTTCACAAGTTACACATGTATCCTGCTGAGGTTGGCCAAATTTAAGATCAAAATTTTCGTTAAAGTATCTCCAAAAAGATTCGTAACTAATTTTATGATCAGCGTGTTTAACTTTGTACATGTCGTACATTTTCTGCACATTAAGTGTGGAATCCAGATATTGCATTTCGTGAGAAGTATAATGAGCTGTTTTAGTGGGGTACGAAGCAATGTGTTTATGTACTTCCGAAAGTAGTTCAGTTGGTATTTTATTATAACTGCTACTTTTCCCGCGTCGATCACGAGGAGTTTGCTGTTTATGAAGCAGATTGGATAACCGCTCACATCTTTTCTTTGTGATTCCAAAGCTCGCCAAAAATCCTTTTTTACAAATAGCAACTCTACTGCCATTCTGAAGTAAATTGTACGTCACTGTCTTGGATTTAGGCTTTTTATTTTTATCAGCGGGTAATCGCCGCTTAGGGACAGCGCAATCCATAAGGCCTTGCAAGAAAACATCCTGTTCATCTTTATTGGATAAGCTGTTGAATTTGGAGAGAAGCGTGGCCTTCTCCTCAGCATTCCAGTGAGACAAACACTTCAACTTGCATCTGAAATAAATGAGGCAGATATTAAAACAACTTAAAATAATTGACAGATTAACATAACTTAAATAATCTTAGTAAATTGTGTTAGAATGTCAGCCAAATGCAATGCGAATGATTATTATATTAAGTTACAAAATAAAAGCACAATTAATTGAAAAGTAATAATATTACTCTTATTTATATTATGGCTAAAACTGCTACTTACCCACATTCTAAGGCGGGAACACGAGCTAGTATCTCCTTTCCGGCTGCATTGACAAAAGAAACGCCGCGAACTCTTGCATCACGATATTTATTTCGTGCATATTTATAAGAATTCACAACACCCTTTTTTCTTATGCAAGGTTTATCCGAATCACTATCACTACTAGCATTGCTACGAGCCATTGCAAACAAAGTTAGAGATATGTTACAACAACACCTCTCTTATAAATAATTCAAGTAGAACTACCGCGGACACCGCTGTTGTCTACTGGTAGTCGTGCTGGTATTGAAGAGAAAACATGCGCCGACACGAGCGCAGCACCACACTGCGGACTGTGTTTTAACTGCAAAAAGGAAACTTCTGCTGTAAAAGTCCCCTTTTTGCAGTTAAAGAAATTTTAGCCGCCATTTTTAATATACTTAGAATAGACACAGAAGTCCCCTATTTGTTGAAAACGATGTGTTTACGTGTAAAGAACGCAATAATAACATAAAGTAAATTTATGAAAATTTGTTGGAAGTCCCCTTTTTGCAGTTAGCAGTTCAAGTATTAGGTTAAGGCATAATTTTAAGTGATTTCGTATAATTGGCCATTTTTAAACTTTATAAGCAATAATATCAGGCAGGATTCAGGCGTGGACGTTCAACCATTAACCAGATCTTTATATTACGATAGATCCTCGATAAAGCGCAAGAGTTTAACATAGATATGTATCATATTTTTGTCGATTTTAAAGCGGCATATCACAGTGTCTTAAGACCAAGTCTTTACAACGCTATACAAAGCACTGCCGGCCTTTTCAACTTGTGCTCATATTGGACGACCCGGATTGCCGTATTATTGTAACACACTCACGATGAAGCAAGTGATAGATTTCCATGCCTACCTTTATCAGTCAAAAGATAAAAGTAAACAAGACCTTCTGATATTGGCCTCTTGTAAGGGACAGAAACCGAAACGAGGAAAATCTATTCATGCTGCAGTGTCAATAAAATACCATGTACGTTTGAGTGAGGGTATGATGATTAGAATATGTGCCAAGTCGTTTTTAGGAATCACAAATTTAAGCAAGGACCGCATACAAAGAGTTGTAAGAAATTTTGTTATAACTGGGGATCTACCAAGAGAACGTAGAGGTGGCAATAGAGTGGATCCAAAAAATGATGAAAAAAGAAACTGCGTCAAAAAATTTATAGAATCCATAACATGTACAGAATCTCATTACTGTAGAAGCAAGACAAGCGTGAGGGTCTACTTGCCATGTGACTTGAATTTTAAGAAACTTTTCGGCAATTATCTTCAGAGAGTGCCTCAGCCTATGCATGTTAGTTATTTTCGAAAGTATATGAATGTTAACTACAATATCACAATTTTACAATTGTTACTGGAACTTTTACCGATAAATTAAGACCAACAAATATGTTTTCTTACGTGTTGACAGAAATTGTATCTAGAAAAGATTCTAATACAATGGCGTCAGCTTTGCAACATGCTCTAAAGAATTTTGATTTTGATGTCGGCATAGAAACAGTACGTTTGTTCGCTGATGGCTGTGGCGGGCAAAACAAAAATTCGAATATGATGGCAATGTTGTTTTATTGGCTTCTAAAAGAATCGCCGAATCATATTAAACAAATTGAATTAATTTTTCCGATCGTCGGTCATTCCTTTATTCCGCCTGATCGTATTTTCGGCCTTATAGAAAAAGACATTAAAAAAAGTTCTGTTATCGTAGAAATTAGTGACTACGACGACTTAATCAGAAAGCATTCCACTGTACGGAAAATCGGTATCGATTGGGATGTGTTTGATTGGAGGACACAAACAAAACGAGTTATTAAGCTGCCTACTTTAAGGCACTTTGAATTTAATAAGTCAAAGCGGTTTATTTTTTACAAAAAAGGCAACAATGTTCTAGTCCAAGGTGAAACCAATTACCGAAATGACGTTGGAAAACCTAAAAGTATCTGTAAGAAAAATGTTCCTCTTTCGTCAATGGCTCCTAAGAAGTTACCATTGGGAAAAGAGTTAAAGGGAGATAAAGGAACTATTAATAGTATCCTTTCAAAACACTATGGAGAAAATTGAAGAAGCTTTCCTGAACTCGATTTTTACAATAAACACTTAAAAACGTATTCTACCTCACCAGAAGAAACCGTTGATGGTTTGGAAAATTACCAACATTCAGAAAATGGCTGTTTTTTGATTTGATTACCTAGATATTTTTTGTTTAAACATTTTCTTTGTATGACTAAAAATGATAAAGTTTTATTTTCATTAATAAATCCCTTATGTTTTTTATTGAAGTAAATACGGTTTGTTATTAGTTTATATATTTATTTGCAAAACTGGTTGTTTGCAATTAACTCTGTAAACATTTTAGGCTAGAAACTTCTAATTTCTATTGCTAAAAACTCTAAGCAACATAAAAAATTCTACGTTGTGAGCTAAACACTACTCGACCGTTAATCGTTTTTTTTTTCGATTTCCCAACAAATTACTTTCGAGCAAAGAGCAAGTTTTGCAAATAATGGCCTCAATATATCTTACCTGTTTTTGTGAGACGAAGAAGGTATCTTTTGCGTCACGTTTAACTGTGTCTTCCAAGAATTTTCTAAGCGCGTTGAAACTGTTTTCAGTGAATTCAAACCAGTATGAGTTGACCAGCAAAGTTATGGGAGTTCTAGTCTTAGTTCTGACTCCGTCAATTTGTTTATCCAAATATGCGGCGATTTCCTCAACACTACCTCTAAAAAAAATAACTTCGTTTATAAAAAAATACTCATATTTCTAACATATATTGATAAAATGATTTTATCATGTTTAATTCAGAGCTCATTCAATCAAGTTGTATCTGCATTGCATACACATGCAAAAAACCGTGAAATATCTAGGAATTGCCAATTGACAAAATTATTAAACCTAAAAAATAAATTTAAAAACAATTAAGCAATATTTTAGGAAACTTGATCGGAAAAGAAGAATTCCCAATTTAAGATAAAATTTATATTTTAGATAAAATGGCTCATGCGAAGATTATGTGCCCATATTTCAAGATAGATTAAGAGGCAAAATAATAATACAGGAAAAATAATGGAGTTGTAAAAAACATACGCAGTAAGTCTGTTCTCTGATATTTAACCTGTTTTCTTCCTACATTTTTATAACTGTCTATTTTGCCTTTCGCGTGACTTACATAGCTATGAAGCGCCAGATGTTGGGTATCTCTCTGAGAGACTGAATCCCAATCAAAAAAATACGTCGTAGAACGAAAACAGCAGACGCCATTGAAAAAATCGCATCGTTAAAGTAGAATTGGGCAGGACACGTCACCAGATTATCAGTCAACCGATGGACAAAACGTATTTTAGAGTAGAGACCAAGAAAGAAGCAATACGAAGCAGAGGACGCCACGCTGAGGGATACCTATGTCCAGCAGTGACGCATACAGGTTGATGACGATGATGATGATTTTGTCTTTAAGGATCCGTTGTAGTATTCTATATCTATTTATCCTCACTATATGTCCCAGATAAGATATTTTCCGGTACTAAACAGTCTTAAGTAATTTTATATCTTTATTGATGTCCTGTTTTTTTTTCTTGTTATCTGAGGTATCTTCAGTATCCGTCTATAAATTCACATTTCCAATACCTCAATTTTATTCATGCTTGATTCTTTAGTGCCCACATTTCTGACCCATACAAAAGTACAGACCAATAGCGCTTTACCATTCTTTATCTTAGTTATAAATTGAAATTTTAACTGCAAATAAATGTCTTCATTTTCATTTAAGTAGTTTTAGTCACAGCTACTTTGCGTTTTTTTTCTGTTTGGATTTAATTGGTCCGTTATGACAGTTCACAAGTATGTAATTTTGTGAATTTTTTCAACTTGTACTCTAGTTAATTGAAGCTTTGCATCTGGATGTGGGTCACGACTAAAGACTAAAAATTTGGTTTTGTTTAAGTTTTTGTTAATATCCATTTCCCTTCCTACTTCGTGAATATGATCAAGCAGAATTTGGAGACCTTCGATATTTTCTGACAGAATTACTGTAGTTTCAGGTGGGGTTGGTGTTCAGATCCAATATCTGCTTCAGGAAATGTGATGACTTTTTTGACGGCATTTCGGAAGCGCTCATTTACAAGTATTTAATCCATTTTTTATTTCTTGAAGATTCAGTGTTCTGCCATCATCAAATGGGGCTTTCTAAGTATAAAATCGTCGCTTGGGTAGTTTATACCAGGTGTTTGCAAATGATCGTGTCATTTTCCAATGTCCAAGACAACGAGGAACTACAATCTAACCTCGTCGGCGTTCCCCATTGGTTGAGCATTTATTTGAAGTAATAATATTCTATCCCAAACTGGTACGAAGTTGGTGACATATTAACTCAGTTCTGATGTTAATAATGTCATACACTACCGTACCTTTTACAAATCTTGACTCAATTCGCTGATTGCCAGTAGATCTCTTTTCATTCTTTTCATTTCTTGAATTGCGTTGTTAAGTTTTCCAGCCCCAAATAAACTTCAAACTCCAAATGACGATTGATGACGTTGTAGAAGCATGTAACAAATACGGCCTAAAACTAAATTGCAAGAAGACAAAAATGATGATTATTAGTAAGAACACCAACATAAACGCCCAAATTACAATAGGCGATACACCGTTAGAAAGAGTGACAAAAATATGTTATTTGGGCTGCAATATTAAGGATACTTGGGATAGAAGATATACAGCTACGAAATAAAACCTCGTATTAAAAATGTCAGAAGCTCTTTCAACAGCCTTAGGAAGATTCTCTGCAACTTATCTTTCAGTATAAACATACATATAAGGATTCTTAGATGTTACGTTTTTAGTGTCCTCTATAGAGTAGAAAGCTGGAGCCTTACAGAAGATGCCATAAAACGATTAGAGGCATTTGAAATGTGGTGCTTTTGACGTATGTTGAGTGCCTCATGTAGGTATATACCACACAAATAACATAACTATTCTCCAGCGGCTAAGAAAAGACAAAGAAATTACACCAATAGACACCATAAAAAACAGAAAATTGGCTTACTTCGGCCACATCATGCTTAATGATAAATACCGACTGCTGCAGTTGATTCTACAGGGCAAGATTGAGGTTAAGAGAGACCCTGGATGTAGACGTATATCCTGGCTGGCCAATCTTAGGAAGTGGACTGGTCTAACGTCAACTGATATAGTTCGAGCTGCTGTGAATAGAATAAGATGGGTCAATGTGGTCGCCAACATCTCTAGAAGATAGGCATATTTAGAAGAAGAAATAGACTTCTGACATTTCATGTGAATATTATCAAATTAGATATTTTTTACTTCTAAGATTTCTTCTAACAGGCCTTGTGGTATAAATATGTTTCTCCTCCCCTGTCGGTTCTTGGCCTCCGCTTTTTATCATTAGCAACAATTTGAATTTATGTGTCAATTCTATGGTGATTTTTTTAAGGGCACTCTATGAGTAGCGGTTCCCGTTTACCTTCTGAATTCTAATGTCGTTGACCATTTGTTGAATCCTCTGTCTTCGGAGCATATCTCTCAACCACAGGACAAAATGGTGCCCTCCTACTTGCATACCTTAACTGGTATACTTTGTCAAATTCAGTGGTATAAGTAACACCAATAATTACATATTAGTTGTGCACTTGTGTACCCTTGTATTTTTGGTTTGTTTGTTAAAGTTAGTTAGTACTTCCCGTTTACTGTCAAACAACTGCAATAATAGAATTGATTTCTCCATTCAACAATACATAGTAGTTTCAACCATGTTTTACCATCCATCAATTAATAGAGTACCGGCATGTAAGTAATGTTTATTTTATTTATTTGCTCATTTATTAATTTATTACAATCTAATAGACTATTTTATAACAATTTGTGGGACTTACCTTGTCTGTTTAAACTTTTAAAACTTTTATACTTTTTATTCAACTTATTCTTTTAAATAAAACCACAGACATGTAATATTGGCATAATTATTGTAATTTACAACATCTACTTTGTTTATCGTTATTAGACAACACCCTAATATGGGTCTTTATTATTTTAGCATTTGTTTAACTTTGTATCGAGACCTGAGGATGCTTTGCATATTGTAGAAAGCGAAACCGGTCGTCTGATAGTTAAATTAAATTGATTGTGAGTAAGTCTTATTTATTATTTCTTTACCTATTTAAAAGAATTAGTAAAAAATTTAGAAGAAGCAGAGGAGATAATACAGTTAGATATATTAGGAATCTTCGGGAAACCTCGGAATCTGCCGATTTTTTAAATTGAAAGAAATTTAACATTTTTAGAAGATCCGAGAAATATTTCTAGTCATCATCCACAGTAGAATCAAAGATAAATCTGAAGAAGACCAGGATGAAACACAATTTGGCTTCAGAAATAGACTGGGAACTCGGGACGCCCTCTTTGCACTAAAATTTATTACTGCAGAAAGGTCGAGATCAAAGTAAAGACGTCTTTGCTGTATTTATTGACTATGAAAAGGCCTTTGATCGAGTACAGCATCACAAATTAATTAATATTAAAAAATAAAGGAGTTGATAGTCAAGACATACGATTCATAGAAAAGTTATACTGGCGTCAAACAGCGACAGCTTGCATAAACGGAAAATCAACAGAAATATGTAAAATACAAAGAGGTGTCAGACAGGGTTGTATACTATCCCCACTGTTATTTAATTTATATTCAGATAGAATATTTAAAGAAGCGCTGCATAATTTGGAATGGGGCGTGAAAGTTAATGGAATTCTGATAAATACAATCAGATATGCAGACGATACAGTTATTTTAAGTGATGACATGAATGGATTACAATGGCTTTTAAATGGCATTGATACAGTGGAAAGAGAGTTTGGCCTAAACATAAACTGTTCAAAAACAAAACACATGGTGCACCACATCAAGATGCACGATTATATGTTGATGATCATATAATTCAAAGAGTGTCCAGTTTTAATTATCTTGGTTGCCATATTACTGAACAACTAGATCCAGATCAAGAGATAAAATGTAGAATCGAGATAGCCCGCACGACATTTTTAAAAATGAGGTCATTCTTCTGTAATGATAACTTGCAACTTCAACTTCGAAAGCGCATGGTTAAATGCTACATTTGGTCAGTCCTCTTATACAGTGACGAAGCATAGACATTAAAAATATCCACCATTAATCGTCTGGAGGCTTTTAAAATGTGGCTGCACAGACGTATACTAAAAATTCCATGGACGGCTATGCTGACAAATGTGGCAGTCCTTGAGAGAGCAAATGCTGCTCGCGAGCTGCTTGATAACATCAAATGTAGAAAGATGGCCTATTTTGGACACGTAGTAAGGGGAGACCGATATAATATTCTTCAACTTATTATGATGGGTAAAATCGAAGGACGCAGAGGAATTGGTAGAAAGCAGGCCTCTTGGTTGAAGAATATCAGGGAGTGGACAGGAATAAAGAAAGCTGAGCAACTCTTTAGAATAGCTCGAGATAGAGACAGTTACGCTATGTTAATCGCCAACGTCAAGGGGACTTGATAGGGCACGTTAAGAAGAAGAGGGAGATCAATTAATAGTCAATATATAAATTATTACAATTGTTCATTTTTTGCTTACTTACTCTATTCCACAAGTAGCCAGTGAGTTGCATTCTGTACCATTTGGTCCAGTTAAATCGTTTATTGGTAAAATCCAATAACCTGGGAAAGCTTCGTTAGGACATTCAGCACCCAAAAGGCATTGTTCTGTCGATAGATAATCCAATGTGTAGGGAAATAATCTTTTTGTTGGCAAAGAGGGCCATGAACTATCATATGTTAACTGTGATGCTATATAGGCGTCAATAGAAGTGTTTCCTGCAAGTTGTAGTTGGGGAGTTCTCACTCCAGTAATAGCTTCAGCTGGTATGTTGGCATATGTACTTATGATTTGTTTTTGGCCTTTAAATTCTTTTGTTAGAGTGTCTTGAGATGCATATCGCCAGTAATTTTGTAGAGGATTTTTCCTAAAAACATAAAAGTTAAAATTTTATAAGCACATATAGACGAATCATATTTCGTGCGATTTAATTAAAATCACAAATCAGTGTCAAATCATTGGTGATTTAATAAAAAAGGTACTTACGTAATTGAGTGCACACCAATTTCAAATCCAAAGTTGTACAAATCATTAACTCTTTCATAGCTTGTATACTCATGTGGTACAAAGAAAGTTCCACTAATTGGGTTATCGTCTGGATTATATATATTTTGGAGTAAAGGAATCCAGCTATTGTCGAAGATATGTTGCGTAACAGCTTCATCAAATGTTAAGCTAATTAACTGCAATAAAAAACAACAAACATTAAGTTAATATCTCATATATAATGGTTTAGAACTAAAATTTATTATTTTTGATTTCTTTTGATTTTGTTAAACAGGATATAGATCTGTCACATAAGGTATCCCCCACCTTACTTGTAAACTAATAATTACGGAACTCTGTCGAACGTGTAAGGGTGTAAGGTAAGGATTATATCTTAAACTAGAGTAAGGGTAATGGAGGACCCAAATACGAATGCAAGAGGGTTTAAAACGGGGTTGTGCAGCACCAGTATAGACTATGGAAACACATGCATAAAAGAGGCTCTTGGTAAGCGCGGACAGAATTGGTCTACTGTCGGTAGCAATTGCTGACAGGACTTTGTTTGCTGCTGTCCTATGAGAGAGGAAGGATATTTCAACAGAGAAATATGGAGATACAAGGAGAGAACATCAGAGCCGAGAAGATGGCCACATCCATTGGGATGTGGCAGGATGAGTGGGATGCAACGGAAGATGTGTCACAGTGAACGTGCGATAGTTAAAGTTCCTGATACCGAAGCTGCGGAGCTGGCTTTACTGCGAGCACAGGCGCATAGACGGAATTGTACTATTGTCTATATTGTGGGGCTTCGGATACTGTGACACATACCCTTTTAGAATGTGTTAAATGAGTAAGAGAAAGGAATAACCTAGAGAGAGTATTTGAGTCTATGAGAAAGATGGTCAAGAAGATGGTGCAAGACACCAATCAGGTATCAATAATAATTACCCCCCAACATATGAACGCTATTTTTATTGCCTGTAAGAAATGATATTTAAATTAGAAGCAAGGAAGATTGGTGAGCAAATCAGACTGGCTAAACAAACTTGAAAATGTCTAGGTCAACTGGGACTACAGATGATGATGATTTCAAGTTGTTATACTCATGTTTGTTCATCAGATCCTCATCGAAACATAATGTTTACAATTTAAAGTGTACTTTTATATATCTGTATATTCTTTTACACGTTTTTATAAATAAATTTAAAATATTGCTAATATTATATGTGAATTTTTTTTGTATATTAGTCTGATTCTAATAAAACAAAAGACAATAAGTCAGTATTGTTCAAAGGTTTCTAGTAATTGTCAGTTTCAGTGAAGACTTTATGATTACTGTTTTACAATTTACCTTTAATAATATTGGGAGCTGCAATAATAATTAGGAATAATCTAAATCATTACAAACTACCAAAAATCCAAAAGGACTTCTTACAAGTAGCTATAAAAAATGGGATGTCAGTTTACAAGGCATCTAAAAGATTCGGTGTGCCAAAGACCACTTTACGGGATAAACGTTCAGGAAGATTTCAAAATCCCAAGTGTGGAGTGCAACCTGTGCTTGTTGCCAATGAAGAAAAGTGTATTGTGGATTGGATTCTTTATTTGGTACAATAAGGGTTCCCTGTCACAAAATCCCAATTAATACACACAGTAGCTAATTTAATTAAAAACTTGGACCGACAAAATCCATTTAAAGATGGTATTCCCGGAAATCGCTGGTTTCAAAAATTCATGGAAAGACATCCTGAAGTTAGTACAAGAGTGTCCCAAAATCTTACCGCAAGTAGGAATAATGTCAGTGAGCAAAGTATTAGAGAGTGGTTCAGAAAGGTTGGGGATTATTTCATGAGCAACAATCTTATGCATATTTTGAGGAGCATATGCAAGGAGAAGCAAGTATTAGCAAGAAGAGGAACAAAGCTGGTGTATAATAGAATAGCTAATGATGAAAAAGAGTGTTTGACAGTATTGGCTAATGTATCGGTAAATGGTTCACTTGCACCACCAATGATATTATTCCCATATAAAAGACTTCCGAAGCATATTCCAAAAACTGTGCCACAAGGTTGGGGTTTAGGGTATACAGAAAGCGGCTGGATGAATATGGAAGCTTTTTATGAATATATTGCGAATTGCTTTTATCCATGGCTCGAAAAACATAGAGTGCAGCTTCCGATTGTATTATTCTTCGATGGACACACCTCCCACATATCTCTAGCGCTAAGTGAATTTTGCAAGGATAAAGAAATAATATTGGCGGCGTTATTGCCAAATTCGACCCACGTTCTTCAGCCTCTAGACGTATTTAGACCGGTGAAAGCAACATGGCGAAACGTGGTACATGATTTCAGGCTTAATCATAAAATGGCCAAAATTAAACGAACCGACTTTTCAGGTTTAGTCAAGATTTGTTTCGACAAATGTTTAAAAGAAGATACAATAAAAAATGGATTTAAATGTTGTGGACCCTTTCCATTTAATTCATAAAAGGTTCAGTACAACAAACTCTTCAAGACCAAAACCAAATAGCAGCACCTTTAACAGGGACTTTCGAAATTTCTAACAAAGATCAAAATAATCAAGAAACTCAAGAATATAAACAATTCAAACAGCAATTCGAAAGTCGTTTGGGTCCTGACACACTTTGTTCTTTCAAATCATCTGGCAGCTCTTGGCAAGGAGACTCTACTTTCGAAAAATTATTTGTGTATTGGAAATCTCTAGATGATAAAAATTTAGATGCAGAACTGGATAATAGAAATGAAGAATTACAAATTACTCTAAATGACACAACATTCATCAATAATATTTCCAGTATTGGGGACTTTAATGAAGATAACTGGGATGTTCTTGACTTCGAAGTTCAGGAAAATGGGAATCATGGCTCGAAAAACATAGAGTGCAGCTTCCGATTGTATTATTCTTCGATGGACACACCTCCCACATATCTCTAGCGCTAAGTGAATTTTGCAAGGATAAAGAAATAATATTGGCGGCGTTATTGCCAAATTCGACCCACGTTCTTCAGCCTCTAGACGTATTTAGACCGGTGAAAGCAACATGGCGAAACGTGGTACATGATTTCAGGCTTAATCATAAAATGGCCAAAATTAAACGAACCGACTTTTCAGGTTTAGTCAAGATTTGTTTCGACAAATGTTTAAAAGAAGATACAATAAAAAATGGATTTAAATGTTGTGGACCCTTTCCATTTAATTCATAAAAGGTTCAGTACAACAAACTCTTCAAGACCAAAACCAAAATAGCAGCACCTTTAACAGGGACTTTCGAAATTTCTAACAAAGATCAAAATAATCAAGAAACTCAAGAATATAAACAATTCAAACAGCAATTCGAAAGTCGTTTGGGTCCTGACACACTTTGTTCTTTCAAATCATCTGGCAGCTCTTGGCAAGGAGACTCTACTTTCGAAAAATTATTTGTGTATTGGAAATCTCTAGATGATAAAAATTTAGATGCAGAACTGGATAATAGAAATGAAGAATTACAAATTACTCTAAATGACACAACATTCATCAATAATATTTCCAGTATTGGGGACTTTAATGAAGATAACTGGGATGTTCTTGACTTCGAAGTTCAGGAAAATGGGAATCTTGCTATGTGTAGGGTCAATTCCTCCACTAGTGATGATTTACAGGAACTAGTCTCAGACAAAACGAATAAGATTGTTCTGGAAATTCACCCTGTTGTTGACACAATAATAATTTAGAACATGGTGATAATTTTGATGTGAATGAGTTCAAAGATTACGATAGTATAGCAAAAACGCCTCAAAAGCTTGTTACACGCTCTGAGACTAACTTTGAAACGACAGATTTAAAACTGGTGCTAGAAAGTCCCCAGAGAACACAAAATGACATTTTTGAACAACTTAGCAAAGGAGATACTGAACAATTACCTTTAAATACACACGTATCTCCTCTAAAGCACACGGAAAACCAACAACAACCAGAACAACAAAATTATAAAGACAACGATATTAATGCAAACTCCACAGATGCAATGGATAAGATTTCAAATAGTGTCCTATCCAACTTTCCAACACCTTTAAAAAATATACCAACTCCGTTTAAAAAGTCGTTTTATTTTCCTAAAAGAATGGAACAATCGACAAACAAAAAAGTTACCAAAAGAATTACCCCTACCGTTGCTACGTCTGACAAATTTATCGAGTATCAGAGAAGACTTGAAGTCGACCGTGAAAACAAAGAAAATAAGAAAAGGGAACGAAAATTCAAAAAGAAGACGAAATTAAAAGAGCTTGGTATTAATAAAAAAAAACTAGAAGCAACCCGAAATGCAACCATGGCTACATCAACGGAGAAGTCTGGACAAAAGCATGCGACTGTGCCCGAGAAAAAGAAACCGAAACTAAATAGTTCACCAACCCCCAAACTAATAAAAAAATTAAAAAAAAAATATACATAAAAGACGATTTTGTTGTTGCAATATATGAAGGACGACTTTTCCCAGGAATTGTTTGTGATATAAATAGTAATGGAGCACAAAATGAAGTTAGAGTGAAATCTATGGAGGCAACTGGATCAAACTGGAAATGGCCAGAGAAGGACGATATATTAAATTATGCAGTAAACGAGATCATTTCCAAAATTGAACCCCTTAAATTAATAAATAAAAGAGGTACTTATTCCGTACCAGAAATGAAGAAATTGACCAAAAATTTTAGCAAATCTTAAACTGTCTTAAACTTTATAATAGTATTTTTTATAATTGTATTTTTTATAATCGAAATTTGAGAATGAGGTAATAGAAATTTTTTTAGTTTAATTTCATATATTTTATTTGTTTTGCTGAATATAATAAAAATACGTTTTTATAGTCAGGGGTGTTTTACTGAATATAGACGATGTTGATAACATCTGTTGTTATCTCATAATTGGTAATAGGTTATAAAAAATCGGTAGTAGGTAAAAATATTACGATTAGGTCGGTATTAGGAAAATTTGCTCGATTTTGATTTAGTATTTTTTCTTAGCAATAAAAATTGAAATTTGGAAAAATAATTTAATTATTTGGAATCATAATACAATTATCTTTACATAAGTTCTACGAGATTTCTGTAACCATAAAAATATAAAAATAATTCAACGAAATATTTAACTTTCCTTAACTGGTGCAGTAATAGGTGACTTTACCTTAGTAATAAACTCACTGGGAGTTAATAGTCATTGGACTAAAACTCTTGCTTACATATTATGTTCGTTCAACAAAAATGCTTCAAATGTTCAAATAAAAAAAAACATTATTCATTATTAATTTCAGACCGATAAACCAAAGAAATATTTTATATGGATATACTACAAACATGGAATCAAAATTTTATATTGACGCTATTAAATTATAACAAGTCTGTAAAGCAAAATAATAATAATAGTAAAAGTAGGTACCTGAGGCCAATCTGTTACATCTCCAGATAAAGGTGATGGTTGACTAGAGCACCTACAATTGTTGTCGATCGTACAAGAATCAGACTCACACTTTTGTGCTGCATCATTTGCAACTACACTATCGAAAGCTAAAGCAGCTATGAGAACTAAAATCAAGCACTGGAATGGCGCCATTTTTAAAACTAGCATTTTACTTAGGTGACATCCGTTATATATATAGATGGTTTAAGTGTGCGTGAGATATATTTTTTAATCTGTTATCAATAATTAAATTTCAATGAATTTATTCATTTTATCAAGTAGTACTTTAGATAATATATTCTACAGTACTTTTTATTACTGGTTGTTAGATGTTTATTAATATTAACCTTTAATATTCGCGTAGATTTTCAGGATATGCATAGTCGCACCTCTCCAAGAGACCGGTATTTAGCGTGAGACCTCTTTTTCTATGTGGTTGCCAGCTGTGATTATCGCCCCCAGGTATTTAAACTCCTTTACTACTTCGAAGTTGTGATCATTAATACTGATGTTCTGGCTAACTCTTGGTTTTAGATTTTAGTCTTTTCTTCATTTATTCGGAGACTCAGATTAATTGTTTCCTTCTCGAGCTGTGAAAACACCTCTCTCACGTCTCTTGTAGAATGCGTGATTGCATCAACATCATCAGCAAATGCCAGCAAAAGTTTTGATCCTTGATTAGCAAATCCTCCTATGAGCTCAGACAATATTTTACTTATTGCATATTCTAAAGCAAAATTGAACAGCAACGGTGACAAGGAGTCCCCTGCGTATGTCCTGAATTTATACCAAATGGCATCGATGTTCTGCTTCCTATCTTTACTTGAGCATATGAGTCTGTTACGCACACTTGCGTTAATTTAACTAATTTTCTTGGTATTCCCATTTCTAACATTGCTATCTACAATTTGCTTCTTTTTATGAAACCATATGCTTGTTGGAAATCTATGAAAATTTGGTGCACATCGCGGTTGAATTTCCAGTTTTTCGATAATATTTGTCGGATGGTAAATATCTGATCTATAGTTGACCTTCCAGCACGAAAGCCGCATTGGTAGTTGCCTAGAATATCTTCCGAATATGGTGTGAGCCTCTGTAGCAAGATAATTTGATAGCACTTTATATGATGTGCTAATAAGCGATATGCCTCTATAGTTTCGGAATTGTTCTTTGTTTCCTTTCTTATATATGGGAATTATAATGCTTCCATTCTATTCTTTAGGCATTTTCTGTTGTTGCCATACTCTCAGGATGATTTCATACAATTTTTGATGTAAAAGGTTTCCTCCTTTTTTAACAACTCTCCATTTATGCCATCATTTCCTGGTGCTTTATAGTCTTTTAGAGACGCGATTGCATTCTTTACATCCTCAAGTGTTGGTGCTGGTATTTCGATATCTGCAGGATGAAACGTAATATCTGCTTCCTCCGTCTCACTTTCAATATTTAGTAAATTCCGAAAGTATTCCTTCCATCGTTCGACGATATCCGTTTCTATCATTATAAGTTCAACTGCTTCATTTCTCATAGGCTGTGTTACTCCAACACTTGCACCTTTTCTAACTGACTTCAAATTTAAATGATTAGACATTTTCCTTTTATATTTTTTTCCTGGTTAAGGTAGAATTTTTATGAAATATTTTGATTTCTTTTACAGCAGAATGGAAGATATACTTAATATTGAAATGTTTGGGGTATCTGATTTCAAAGACGATGACATGGACGATGCTGTACTTCTACATGTATTTGGTAATAATTTATTGAGAAATTGGTTTCCGTAATTTTTTTCGATTTTTTCACTATTTTTAGGTTACAATAATACAAACAAAAGATAAATATTTGGTTAAAATCACAAAACAACAAAAAGTTTTTAATTTTCGGAGATTTGACAGACATTCGGTAATACTTGGAACAATTTGGATAACGTTAAGGGAATTCGTAAACGCACACAAGGTTACGGTGACCCGTTAACGCAAACGTGTGTATTCCTCTACTGCGCACGAGTAGCTGTCAAATTATACGTTAACGTTTTGCCCTGCACTTTAACTCCCTTTTATTGACACCCCGAGACTGTGTTAAATATGGTGTTCAAAATGATTAGTTAAAGTCTTCGTAATAGTGGCTTCCCATGATCGGCGATTCTACAGATCTTCGCGGACAGCCGATCAGCACGGACGGCAACGCACCGCAGACAGAGTTTTTCCTACGGTCCGTGACAGTCTGTGTAGGTCCGTGACAGTATTGTTTGATTATATCATAAAAAGTCCACTCAGGTTTGTAAACATCATCAGCCCCACTTCCAGTTCCCATCGATTCTCTAACTTTTGTTTTTTGCCTTTTTGTATGTCGGCATTAAATTATTTCTCTTCTTTTTTAATTCTTTAATCGAAATAGTACTATTCTTCAATTGATTTTTTATTCGGTTCGATGCATCGTTGCGGTTCTTATGCTCTGGCGCAGTGGAATTTCATAAACTTCGTTCATTTTGATAAAAATTTAAAAAATAAAAAATAACTCCGTTTGTCCATTCCATTTTTTAGCAAAAAACTGCAAAACAACTTTAACAACACTACAGACAACTACTCGTGTCAGCGAATGAAAAACTTCTGACTTGCGCTTGTCTGGTAAAACACAGACGGGCTAGGATCGCGTTGCACGAGCATACCGCATCTTTGATGTTACCGACTCTAGATGGATAGGAAGCACCAGCGCGGACGTGCTGTGCTACCAAGGACGAGACCTTTCCCACGGTGCGTGGTGCGGGCTGGTTTGCTTACGTCCGCAATATCGCTGACCGTGGGAAGCCGCTATAAGAGAGATAGGTTGCCTGGCGTCAAAGTGATGGGGGAATGTTCCAAGGTCATGCATATAAGTTTCCGGGGCCTGCACCTTACCAACAAAAATTTAGTTTAGGCTGATTTTGCATACGATTTTTACAGAAATTATAAGCACTTAATCAAGTAAAAGAAATTATTGGGGCTAGGCCTTTGCCTCTGAGCCACTTAATTGTCGAATAAATGGCAAAATATTTGATCTAAAATGCAGTCAAGTCATGTTCCTGAAAATATCTTTTGACGTTGAATTATTATTCATTAAGGTAGTTTTATGTTTGCATTGCTGAGTTACTTGAAGAAACATATTAGAACAAGATGACTTGACTAAATAAAATAAGATACCGTCGTAATATTTTTACACAATTAAATCAAAATCCTTCTGTAAATCGTTGAGTGTCGCTGAGTATCACTTCTTTAAATAATTTTTTAAATTGTTAAGCTAACAGGATATAATATATTTACAATTTTATGATTAATCAGACCCTCGAAGTGTTCTAAACTTGTTATCAATGATTGATAAATGTCTTAAAATTGATTCATGTGACAGTTGTGTATTAAGCATAAAAGTATAATATTGATAAATAAAGTGGTACTGTAAATAAAGACTCTGGATTATGTTGGTCTATATACTATTAATTAAAAATATTATTTTAACTAATAATTGCATTTTTTATTGAAAAATTTACCGCATCCATTGTACACTGTATAGTCAATTTGATTTTTAGTATTTCTATTTGGAAGATACAGCGAAAAAAGGAGGTATGTCAGAAATAACATATTCTGAAATAAGGCGATTTTAATACTTCAAAACAGAACAAAGTTTACATTCTTGTCATTTATATTGATCAGGGTATTCATCATCATCATCTTGGCGCTACAGCCCCTAGAGGGCCTCGACCTTCTCAAGATTTCTACGCCATTCTGTTCTGTCCCTTGCTTGCATTTTCCAGTTGCCGACTCCGATCTTCTCCGCATCTTGTGTTACCACATCCACCCACCTCAGCTTTGGTCTACCCCGTCTTCTCATTCCCATGGGTTGCGCTGTTAGAATCTTTTTGGTCATGTTAGATTCAGGAGTCCGGGATACATATCCTGCCCACTGCAGGCGTTTCGTTTAATTATAGTGGTAATATCTTTACCACCAAACGTATGCTTGTAGATATTCTGCAGTTCAAAGTTATATCTACGCCTCCATATTCCGTTCTCACAGACCGCTCCGAATATCTTGCGTAGCACCTATCTTTCAAAAATTGATAGAGCGGATTCATCTGTTTTAGTTAGGTAGCGTCCATGCCTCTGATCCATATGTGAGAACGGGGACTATCAGTGTTCTGTACAGCCTTATACAAGTTTTTTGAGACAGACGTTTGTTAGCTAAGTACTTTGATAGACTATGATAACACCTGTTTGCAATTATTATTCGGCTTTTTATTTCCTCAGATGTGTTATTATTGGGGTTAACCGATGTCCCTAGATATATGAACTCTTTGACTGCTTCGAAGTTTTGGTCATTGATGATTAAATTTGCGTCAACATTTCCAGCTCTTGTGTTTGTGTTAGTTGCCATGAATTTGGTTTTATTTTGATATATATGTAACCCCATTCGTTCTGCTGCTGCTACTATCTCGGTTAGGATTTCCGCAGTTCTCGCCCTGGTTCTTGTTATATTGTTCACGTCGTCTGCATAAGCTAGAATTTGAACTGATCTATTAAATATTGTTCCCCTGCTGCTATCTAAATTAGCCTCTCGTACAACTTTTTCTAAGGCGACATTAAAAAGCTGACACGCCAGCGCATCTCCCTGCCTTAACCCCCTATGTATTTTGAATTTTTACTGCTGATAGAATCTTCGCCATTTTCACTTTTATCAAAGTTTTTTGAAATTCCTAACTCATTCATAGCGTTGTAAAGACTTGGTCTTAAGACACTGTCAGATGCCGCTTTAAAATCGACAAAAATATGATATATATCTATGATAAACTCTTGCGCTTTTTCTAGGATCTGTCGTAGTGTAAAGATCTGGTTGATGGTCGAACGTCCACGCCTGAATCCTGCCTGATATTCTTCTAGAAACATTTCGGTATACGGCTTTAATCTCTCGTGCAAAATGTTTGACAATATCTTATATGCTGTATTTAGGAGATTTATTCCGCGGTAATTATTGCATTCCAGTTGGTTTTCCTTTTTGTGTAACGGGCAAATTAAGCCTAAGCTCCATTCTTCAGGCAATTGCTTCTCAGACCAAATTTTACAAACAATTTCTCGTATCACCTTGGTGAGCTGCTCTCCACCGTGCTTAAATTACTCTGCTGGGATACTATCGGTACCTGGGGATTTGTGGTTCCTTAGTTTTTCTATAGATATTTTCACTTCATCTACCGAGGGGGGGTTCTACGAGTTCCTCATTTCGATATTCCAGCTCTATATTGTTAGTAGGTTCCCTTTCTAGCAACTCTCGAAAGTGATCTACCTATCGTAAAAGGTTATCCTGTTTGTTGGTAAGTACCACCTTCCTTTTCATTACAATAGTTGATTCTTGGTTTGAATTCTTTTCTAATAATATTTATTTGATGACAGAACTTTCTTGTTTCTCCGTGACTCATATGGCTTTCGAGCCATTCTAATATATAATTTTCCTAGTCTCGTTTACTTTTTCTGACTAAAAATTGATGCTGACTAAAAATTTTAAAAGACTTTTTTTGCCGACGACAAATTAATACGTAGTTACGAGTGGGTTAGGAATCCATTCCAAATTACTCCGGAAGGGCTCTCTACTGCTGAAGAAGAAACTTTCATTGACTTCACGGCAAATGATGAAATCAAGAAACAGTTTAATAATAAATCCCTCTTTGAATTTTGGGCAGGAGTAAATGATGAGTTTTCTGCACTGAAAACCAAAGCGTTCCGTATACTATTGCCGTTTTCAACATCCTACCTTTGCAAAATAGGATTTTTTACGGTGGCTGTTTTGAAGACCAAATATAGATAGCAGCTAAATATAGAAAAATAACTAAAAACGTCTATTTATAATATTATACGCCGTTTCGATAAACTTTGCTCTACAAAACAAGCTCAAGGAAGTCACTGATTTATTATTAAACTTGTTCATAATTTAGTGTTCAGTGCTCTTTATAATTATACCTGTTATATCAGTGTTCATTTGTATTTTATTTTTTATTTTGTAAGAATTTTGTTTTGCTTTGATTTTAGTAAATTAGACAATGTTTTTTTCGAATAGGCTCACGCCCCCCATTAGTAATACCGCGCCCCCCTAGGGCGCGCGCCCCACAGGTTGAGAATAACTGCTTTAAGGTTTAGGATCACTATACACCAAAGCTTGATATTAAAAACGCTGCTAATCGAGTTGGCTAGAGAATAGAGACAAACCATCAAAACAATTCTAATAAGTTCGAAACGTAAAATATTCAGAATATAACAAACATTAATATATAAAGAGAGATATTAAATATTCGACTAAGCTTAACTTGACAAGAGATGAAAAAAAAAGATGGGAAACAGAACAGTTTTAGAAAAATTCGGAACATTCTCTCATAGCAGATGAGATAATGGTGACGTGATGTGCTACCAGTGTTTTAGGTTAGTTTCTGTTGTCAAAATAAGAACATTTAGTATTACGATTAAAATAAAATTTTAGTATAATACTTTCTTTTAATCTGATGTTCCTAATACTAAGCATTTATTAGAAAAAAAACGGACCTTTTTATTTTATGATTCTTTGCCTGATACATGTACTATTTGTTTATAGTTTATTCAAGTTTTTCATATTTATAGAAATATAAATTTATTTTGGATCTATCTACTAAACAGAACTTTCAAATTTGACACTGTTACTGACATATTATTCAAAGTTCTGTTATAATTTTATTTAGTAAATTTGTGACATATTTTCCAAGCCATGAGTCTATTTAACTTCTGAAGAAAGAACCTAAATTTTGCGATTTTATGGATTCCTCCAAGTCGTCAGTTAAACATTATCCAAAGCCGATCAACATTTTTTATATATGGTATTCTGAATTATGCCGCCGTATGAATAGTACACCTGCAAGGGTTGTCAAACCAGCAAAGCTAAGAAGTCAAACTATTCTTGAATTTGTTGGTGACCGCTTAAAATTTGAAGAATGGAGTCCTATTGTAAATGCCCTTCGTAGTGATACTAGTCTGCATGTAATCAGTATTAAAAGTAGAATAGGTAATTGTCAATTTTTACATGATGTTGATACAGAAGAAAAAGCAAGGCACATGAAAAGACGTTTTGGTTCGCTGTGGACAGCTTTTATATTACGCCAGCTCACGAAATCAATCTCAACCTCTTTAAGAAACACCGAAGTACTTACATTTTTAGAACTGGATGGTTTGCCTCTATTTGCACAATATCTAGAGCCTCTATTGCAAGCACTTAAGAAAAACAAAACGGTAAAACAGCTTTCCTTTGCCAATTCTTCCATTAAATCTGCTGGATGCGAGATGCTCTGTGAATATTTAAGGTATGCTCCAAATATCGAGGTTATTAACCTGTCCGGATGTGCTCTGACGTCCGACAGTGGCGAATATTTAGCAAAATTGATTAAATATCAACAAATTAATAGGTATTGTGAGAGCTGGCACAACTCTTTAAGATACGAAAATCCACAAAATAGTAGTATGAGAGGAATTAAGAGGATAACCCTTAATTGTAATTTTGAGTTCGGTGATACTGGTTTGCAGTATATTTTAGATGAATTAGAAGATGACTTATGGATCAAAGCTTTGGATTTACAGAGATGTGGAATAACAGAGAAAATAGGTCCCAATATTTTAAATGTTGTTCAGTACAACAGGTCTTTGGAGATAGTGGATCTTAGACAAAATGATTTGCTCGATATCAAAACGATTGAAAAAGTCTTACAATTATTACGAGAGAAACAGGATATTGGATTTCAACCAGAATTTCAGTGGTGTAATACAGCTCTTACCTTAACTTTAGATTCTTTGGGTGGATCAACATCCAAATTTTCTATGACAACACCTATTCATAAAACTAAATCAGCCCCGATAAAAAATACTTATCAAAAATCAAGCATGGATACTTTTGATGCTATAAGGAAAACTAAAACCTTACAAAATATTCCAAAGCATGCAGCTTATCCAGGAAGATCCATAATAACTGATTTAAATATTAAATTACAATCTGAAATTCAAAAGAGGAAAATAACAGAAAAGAAAAATGAAGAACTGATACAGCAACTTAATGAAATGAAACTAACAAACAAATTTCAACACCCCCCTGTGGATCGTGTAAAAAACAAAACAAAGGTTGTAATTGATGACGTGAAGAAAAGTTTCAAGAATTTAAAAACATCTAAATTTTCGACAGAAAAAATAATACCTGCTGAACAAAATTCAATCATACCAATAGATAGCTCAGTTAAAAACGGTGCTATTAAGAAAAATGGATTTAAAAATGATCATTTGCCTAATGGATTTAAAAACGGTGTATTACCACATTGTTCAAATGGCATTATTACTGGTCACAAAAATGGGGTTTCTACTAAAGTAATAAGCAGTGCTTGCAAAATTTTCGAAAACTTGTTGAAAAAAGAAACTTGTGTTGAAGTTACTAACGACTGCGATGATTTACTACGGTATACAATAGAACAAAACCCTACTAGTCTGGCGGTAGATAATATGAGTGTTATTTCATCCGACAGTCTGCAGTCGCTGTATCAATACATGGATGAACTAAAGACCAACGAAAATGGGAAATATCTAATTAAGGAATGTGAATGAAAGTAAAAAAACATAATTTTAAGGTGCCTTATTTTTCAAAGGAAAATTAAAATGTCCATTATATTTTTATTTTTTTGAATATTTGTAGCTTTATAATCAGTGACGGATAACAATATATAGATGTATATCGAAATATTACATAGTAAACTTTTTTTGTGTATTCATCAAAGTTTTAGCCACATTCATTACAATAAAGCCTAACAAAAATTTAATGTTCTTTATTATATATATATATATATTATATATATATATATATATATATATATATATATATATATATATATATAGTTTCTACATTCCAATTGGTCACCCTTTTTGTGTAGCGGGCAAACGATTCCAATACATCACTCTTCCGGGATTTGTTCCTCATTCCAGGCTCTCAGTATTATTTTATATATTTGATTAGTCACAGAAGCACCTCCACATTTAATAAGTTCCGCGGGTATACCATCACTTCCTGGAGATTTATTGTTTTTTAGGTGTTTTATTGCATCTCGTACTTCTTGAATTGACGGGGGCTCTAATGGTGAATTGTTGCTTGCTCCTCCGGGTGGTTGATTTGGATCTGGATCTTCTACTTCTATAGTAAGTAGTTCTTTAAATTGTTCCACCCACCTTTTCAGTACTTCTTCTTTTGTATTTAGTATATGCCCCTCCTTATCCTTACATAGTCTGAGCCTTGGTTTGAATTCCTTTCTTGCGTTATTCAGAGTTTTGTAGAATTTTCTTGTTTGGTTTTCCTTTTTTAATACCTCAAGTTCTTCCAATATTCTATTTTCGTGAGTTCGCTTTTTCCTTCTATGAATGTACTTCTCTTCTTTTCTGAGATCTTTATATTTTTGCTGTTTTTCTCGGGTTCTTCTTTTCTGCATCAGTTTATATGCATCGTTCTTTCTTCTTGTAATGTCCTCACACTCAGCATCAAACCAGTCATTACGTGGTGGTGGTCTTTCTGGCCCTAGAATATTTCATTTCAGAATTTAATTAAAACGGATCCTAAAAACTATAGAGGGATCGCAGTGATTGCTACTATAGGCCGATTATATTCAAAAGTACTGAGAAACCTGATAGAAAATGATATTAAAGATAAACAACCCGAAGAACAAGCGGGATTTAGGGCCGGACGCTCCAATATGGATAATATTTTCACATTAAAATTGCAATGGAAAAACGAGTGCAGAGAAATAGAGAAACCCATATAGCTTTAATAGACCTGGAAAAAGCATATGATAGTGCACCGATCTCCCAACTAAGGATAGAAATGGATAACTTGAAAATAAACCCAATTCTTATTAACGCCACTCAAAAATACTACGAACAAAACTTTGCAACAATTAAAATGGGACAAGAAATCACCTCTCATTTTCAAACAACAAAGGGACTAAGACAAGGCTGCTGTCTGTCACTCACCTTATTTAAAATCTATTTGGACAGATCCTTAGTGAAATGGGTAAAAAAATGTAGAAACATGGGAATAACGGTGGAAGAAAACACGCTATATACACTTTTCTTTGCGGATGACCAGGTAGTAATTGCCGAAGATAGCTACGATCTTAGCTATATGCTAAGAAAACTGCAAGAAGAACATGAGGTGGCAGGTATAAACATGAATATGACAAAATGTGAATATCTATCAGTGGGAACAGATGAAATATGTGACCTAGTCTTGGAAGACAACAAAATCAAAGGCGTACAATCCTGCAAATATTTGGGGGTCATTTTCAATAAGAAGGGAAATAGCGCAGATGAAATCAGGGAAAGAATAAACAAGGGTAGAGCAGCGACCCGTGCCTTAAACTCTCTTCTCTGGCAAAAAACAATTCGACGAGAAACCAAAAAACACATTTACGGTAGTATAGTCCAAAGTATTACACTTTACGGTTCGGAAGTATGGGACGTCACCAAAGCTAATAAAAACAAACTTATGACGACAGAAATGGATTATCTGAGACAAAGCTGCGGTAGATCGAAACTAGAAAGAGTTAAGAACGAACAAATAAGAAACGAAATGAAATTGGAGCGAAATATCAATGATGACATAGAAAGAAAACAATTAATCTGGTTCGGACATGTTAAAAGAATGCCAGAGTACAGATGGCCTAAAAGAGTACTGGAATGGATTCCTCCTGAAAGAAGAAAGACAGGACGACCACGGAGAAGTTGGCGCCAAGATATTGATGAAGCAATGGCGGCAAGATACTTAGAAGAGGCAACTGCGTATGACAGAAAAAGATGGAAATTGGGGGCGGAGAAGCGGCGACAGCCGTAATCAATCCGTTATTATATATATATACATATATATATATATATATATATATATATATATATATATATATATATATATATATATATTCTAAGAGAAGAATATATATATATATATATATATATATATATATATATATATATGTATATATATATTATATATATATTATATATATATATATATATATATATATATATATATAGCTTTTAATTAAATGAAATAGATCTTAACAAAAAAAAATCCCAATACTTGAAAACGAGACTGTTCGATCTAAGTGTATTGCCAATGTTAACATACGGAACGCAAACCTGAAAACTAATAACACAAATATTAAATAGAATAGAACAGAGTTACAAATAAACAAATCAGAGAGAAAACAAAAGTAACTGACATAACGGAAAGGATCACGAAGATAAAATGGTAAAGAAAAGGAAGACCCACAACGAGATAGCACGAAGACCTAAAAAACAGCGAGCAAAAAACAATAAAGGGAGGTCTATGTTAAATATTGGACGCAAAAACTCTAAAGAATCAGAAAGTTACTAATAAATATTTGACTAAAAATTTAACATAATTATCTCTGAAAGACAATTTCGATAATATCAAATATAAATCCGATTTTTTTTATATATAGGTTTCAGGTATTATAAAGTCTTTTTAGTTTAATCCTATTTATATAATTTTACTAAAAATACAGTTTAATCTAGTTCATATTATTTTTTGTAGATCGGAGATAAGAATTAACTCAAGTGTTGTGCAATAAATCAAATAAAAATAAAAATCGGAAAAGAGCAGAAGCTTTTCAATAGAACTAATAATTATTTTTTAAAGTTAGCTGTAGAAATATCGAATACCTTATTTAACTTTGAGGCATTTAATAGTACAATAATAAAGGTCTTATACTCTTTCTGCTACTTCCTTCCAATAATATCTTCCTTTTTCTTTTCTCGATCTTCTTAAATTTATAGTTCTCAAGTCAACCATCTGTTTCTTTTTTTTTCTCAGGGTGGAAATAATCTAAAAAGTCGTACCAGGTTAACCCATCCCTAAAGATGGCTAGCGTGTGTTAGAACCAGAGTAAATGAGTACATCCGAGCCTATTTTCCCCTAAAAGGACGTCCTGCAGACGGATGCCTGCGTTGGTCCGGCTGGTGTTTCTCTTTTTCTTCTTTTTTCTTAATGAGTGCTCAGATTTTAGTGTTTAGTCATGACCCACATCCCGATGCAAAGCTTCAATTGAACGGAGTCCAAGTTGAGAAAGTTCACAAAATGACATATTTGGGAACTGTGATAACGGACCAACTAGATCCAGACATAGAAATAAAACATATAATAGCAATGACTAAAACTACTTCTATAAAAATGAAGTCATTTCTTTGCAATAACCATCTCAGTTTAGAACTAAGTCAAAGAATGGTTAAGTGCTATGTTTGGTCTGTACTTTTGTATAGTGAAGAAGTGTGGACGCTAAAAGTATCGATCATAAACAAAATTGAAGCATTGGAAATGTGGGTTCATAAAAGAATGCTGAAGATACCTTGGACAGCAAGAAAAACTAATGAAGAAGTACTAAGAAGCTTCAACAAAGACAGAGAACTGCTAAAGACTGTTAAACATCAAAAATGTCTTATCTGGGACATATAGTAAGGGGAAGTCGATATAAAATTTTACAACTGATCCTTAAAGGCAAAATAGAGGGCCGTAGAGCATAGAGAAATAACAATAACAATAACAACTTATTTGTTATTTCTCTATGCCGTAGAGGTGTAAAAAGAAAACAAGTTTCTTGATTAAAAACATTAATGAATGGACTCAGATACTAAATACAGGACAATTATTCCATATTGCAGAAGATCGAATGGTGATCGCCAACGTCGGATAATTCTGATATGGCACGCGAAGAAGAAGATATTATGCAAACTTCGATCAAATTCGATCAATCGAAAAGTCGAATCAAATCACTCAATATACTCACTTTCTCAGCCATGTATACAGGGTAAGTCATGAGGAACTTTACATACTTCTACCATATGTAGAGTCCCTCAGGGAGCATATCATGTGGCCACTAAAAAATGTCAACTCCTCTTCTTTATTAATTAACAGGGTGATTTGTGTAATTGACCATTTATTTCATTTTACTGTAGTGTTTATACGGCTCATTTGATTTTTTTAATTTTTGCATGATACAGTACACTACTATCAAGCATTCGACTGGTATTAGCTAAACTAAAAAATTCCAGGACTGGCTTTGGAAAAATTAATTTAGGGATTCGTATTAAATATTATACCCTGAATGTATTTTTTTAAAATGCAATAAGTGATTTTCAAACTACATAAATAGCCAATGAAAACGACATATGCGACAATGTTGTCGCACTTTTATTAAATTTTTAGTGAACGATCAAATCTTACCAAAAATAGAACAACCATAATGAACTATCAAATTATAAGGTATTAATTTAAACAAATGTTATAAATTTTAAACATTTTAATTAAAATGAGTTCCTACAACATAATCTAATACGTAGAAAATTAACATCTTTACTGTCAATTTGTATTATCTCTACGATAGAATCAATTGTTTTTCAATTTTAAATTTTTACTCATAGATCGTATTGGGGCATTATTTTCGATAAATAATAAATTAAATTGATTAAAAAGTCAAACCTCTTGTATGTGTTAGTTTTTGTTCATTGTAAATGATTAAAATTTTATGTCAACTAATAATACATTGCATCAACTGTACTAAATAAAAATAAATCTAAAAAAGTTTAAAATGAAGGTTGGCGTTGACCGTTTGAGGTTTCTTGATATTTTATACCCATTGTCATTATTGTCATTATCAATTGTTATTTATGTGTACAAGAATACATATTTCTTCTGTCATATCTACGTTAAGTACATTGTGTTAGTTTTGGTAGAGCTAAATCCATTCCTAATCGTCGAACTCCCAGTCATCCAACATTTGGGTCAGTTTTTAATTATTTGCGAGAAAATGGCACTTTTCCTAGTTGAACAACAGAGCGACATGTAGATGAAGCGCAGGAAGATGACATTATGGACGCCGTTACTATGAACCCTACAATAAGAACTAGACAAGTGAGTCGAGAACTCAATGTTACTCAATCAAAAGTAAGTAGAGTCTTACAAAAAAATAATCTATACCCATATCACAGTCAAATGGTTCAGCGACTACATGCTGGAGATGAGATCGATAGGTTGGAATTTTGTAGATGGATTAACAATAATCGTCAACGCTATACAGGACCCTATTTACATATGAAGCCCAATTTACCAGAGACGGGATAAATAATTCACGAAATTCACATGTGTGGGCAAAAGAAAATCCCCATGCTATTCGAGAACGTCGTTCTCAGTTAAGGTTTCGGTTAACGTGTAGATTGGTGTCATAAATAACCAATTAGTAGGTCCTCACTTTTTTGATGGTCCTCTAACAGGGCAGGTCTATTTGAACTTTCTACAAAATATTTTGCCGAATTTGCTTGCCAACGCGAACGTTGCTATCCGAGGGATGTATTTTCAGCGTGATGGGGCACCCCCACACTTTTTACTGGCAGTGAGACAACATCTCAATAATGTTTATGCCAACAGGTGGATAGGACGTGCAGGTCCTATTTCGTGGCCTTCAAGATCCCCTGATTTCAATCCCGTTGATTACCATATTTGGGGACGATTGAAGCAACTAGTTTACGCAGTGAATATTAATAACCGACAACAATTAATTGATAGAATTATACATTGTTGTAATACTATTAGAAACGATCCCCAGAGTATCCATAATTCAATACGTCAATTAACAATTCGGCAACAAAAATGTGTACAGGCTGCAGGGTTCCATTTCGAAAATCTATTTTGAATTATTTTTATTTTGTTACCATTATTGTATCTTTTCCAGTTCTAATTTATGGGTTTATCATAACTATGTACCTACATATTTTTAGTTTTTTTTTTAAATTGTTCTTCGTTATTGTTAGTAGTTACTGTTTTTTGTTGTGCAGTGACTCAGTTTATCATTTCAATTAAAATGTTTGAAATTTATAACATTTGTTTAAATTAATTACCTTATAATTTGATACTTCATTATGGTTGATCTATTTTTGGTAAGATTTGATCGTTCACTAAAAATTTAATAAAAGTGCGACAACATTGTCGCACATGTCGTTTTCATTGGCTATTTATATAGTTTGAAAATCACTTATTGCATTTTAAACAAAATATATACAGGGTGTAATATTTAATACGAATCCCTAAATTAATTTTTCCAAAGCCAGTCCTGGAATTTTTTAGTTTAGCTAATACCAGTCGAATGCTTGATAGTAGTGTACTGTATCATGCAAAAATTAAAAAAATCAAATGAGCCGTATAAACACTACAGTAAAATGAATAAAATGGCCAATTACACAAATCACCCTGTTAATTAATAAACAAGAGGAGTTAACATTTTTTAGTGGCCATACGATATGCTCCCTGAGGGACTCTACATATGGTAGAAGTATGTAAAGTTCCTCATGACTCACCCGGTATATTTGAATGTATTATGTTTCTTTTTGAAAAAAGTCCTTTGTATGCGTGTGTTAAATTTTATAATAGTCTACCATCTGACATTCAACAGGAAACACACTATAGAGCTTTTAAAAGAAAGGTTTTTCAACACGTAGTTGATATTGAGCCCTATACTGTGGCGGAGTGCCTGGCCTATCCTTCTCCTTGATCAGCATATTTAATTTGTAATGTATTATATTTTAAATGTGTGATGTTAATATATATTTTTTTAATCTGTAATTAATAATGTGACGTTATTTGCTCAATTATGTTTAAAAATGTATGCAAATAAAAATGTACTCCACTCTACTCTACTCTAATGAAGGATCTTTTCCTATCGAGTCATGCCGGTTTATTTAGTCAGTGGCAGCAAACGCCTGGCAGCCCTCGATAAGATATTTGATGGTTTTTTGGGCTTGACACAAATATTGGTATTTGTCGTTTTGGAACTGTGGGTCCTTGAAAATATATTTCAGGTAATTTATAGTTGGAATAAGCTGATCCTGAAGTAGGATACCCTATGTCTCGAGAAATATCTTTTCTGATGTCAACCAATAGTCAGTAATAAGAAAATAAGAATATCTCAGATAATCAGATAAAAGGGATAACCAATTCTATAAATGAAGTACATCTTAGAGCGAATGAACTGGATGAACAAAAATATAATCTGCTGGTAGAATATGTCTGTAATTATGTAAATATTGAAAATGCAAAACTTTCATGCTTACCAACACACAAATGACTATTTATACGTAAAACCACAATATTATCTAAGCAACGCGGATATTGTTATTCTTCTAGATGTTTTGCTAAAATATTACACAAAAATGCAGCCGACGAACTTTTTTATAAACATTAAACGTCAAGTTCAAGTTTATATTTATATAACAATCACACCTTTGATAAGAAATGGTCAACATTATGCAACCTATAAAAAGAATTACTTTCATGATTAGAAAATATTAACTGAACAAAATGATTAGTTTAAAGGTTTTCGTTGCTGCCTTTTTAGTCGTCTTTGCTGTGTCCGTTGTAAGTAAAACTTATGTTGCTTATTTTTTACTTTTACAACTTAAAATAATGTCGTTAATTATTTTAAGACAAACTGTAATAATCTAAAGTTACCTTTACAATTGTTTTGAAGCCATTTCTTGTGAAAGGAACTTTAAAATTACTTACTATGTTTATAATACGAATTAACCATAATTTCATTTACAAAGGTGGTATTGTAAAAAGATCTGTTCTAGATATATATGACGTTTGCAAAATATTATATTAAATGGTTGCTGAGAATATATTCGGTACTTTCTTCTGCAATTTCACATAAGCAGCATGTTACTCTGTCCATTTTGCCTATTTTATAGAGATATTATTTGAGTGACAAAAAACCGCTGTTATTACCCTCAAACCCAAAGTTCAGTTTTCTGAAGGTTAAAAAATTTTTTTGCTAGCTTTTAGACTGGAATATTTTATCAGTATTCTACATAGATGATGATTAAAAGAACTGGAAAAGATTTATTTGCGTACACATTTATTTCCTAGCTTTCGGGTTATAATGACATCTTCAGAGCTATGATCAAGTTTTTAAAATATCGATACTAGAAGATATCTTATTTGATAAAAGATTGCAATAATTTTTATCACAGGAGATCTCTCCTAGTAGTAATATTTTTAAAAACTTGATCATAGCTCTGAAGATAGTTTTATAAGCCGAAAGAGCTCAGGTAGAAAATAAATGTTTATATACTTCCAAAATACTTTTCTTTTCCATTCTTTGATTGTCATAAGTGTGTATAAAAACATATCAGCCCTTTCTGTTGAACATCTATTAGCCAATGTAAAATACGATCTGGTGCTAACTGCGGCTCTGATCACCAACTCCTTTTTGAAACACCAAAGAAAAAATTCAAAGCATCTGCTAGGGTTCCAACTGGAGGATATCACAAATAAAATATACACAACAATTTAAAAGCCAATGTAATGAAAAATTGGAAAATATTTTACCAAATATCAGCACTCATGATTCTGAAAAGATCTGGCTACCTTTGAAAAATACCTTGATACAGATCTTAACTGACTGCGAGGCTGCAGGTCTAATGCCAACTCAACCGGACGAAAAAACTCATCCGGGTGGATGTCTGCAGATACTTTTGACCTCTTTGAAGAACGTAGAAAACTTAAAATTGTTGGAGTTGAGAACCCTCTTAGGAATTCCTAGTACCGGAAGTTATCTATAGCTATTCAGGTTGTTTGTAGACAAGACAAGAACAAGCATATAAAGAAAATTTGCAGTGAAATTCAACAACATGCCAACACAAATAACACCAAAGAACTCTACGATAAATTCAGACTACTCTCAAGTAAATTCAAGCAGAAATCTGTACCTATCAAAGAAGATGAAGACAATGTACAGACGGATTTAGACAAGGTTATAGATGTTTGGAGGGCGTATTGTAAGTCTTCATACGACGATATGGACCAGGTGCCCGCGGACACTTCATATGTACCTCAAGCCTCTACTGTTTACTCTCCTTCAACAAGGACACACCACACAAGCTTTGAATCTGACCATGACATACTTTTTTCTGAAGTGGAATGTGCTCTAAAAAGACTTAAATTAAACAAAGCAGCAGGCTATGATTTCAGTACTGCTGATGTCTTAAGCATCTTCCTGTATGTGGAGTGAAAATATTACATCGATTGTGTAGTGAAATATGGCACACAGGCGTCTGACCTGATGATTGGAGAAATACCATAATCATATCTCTACATAAGAAAGGTCCAACAAATTATTGTAACAACCATAGACTATTAGCTCTAATATCACACGCCAGTAAGGTGATCCTCTAGATCCTCCACCGTCGTCTAGAACACTTAATAAGTTGGCAAATAGCACCTGAGCAGGCTGGACTTATGAAGGGCAGAGTCTTGGATGGTTTGCAGGAAGGAGTAAGCCTAGGTGGTGTCAAGATATCTAATTTGCGTTTCTCAGACGACACTACACTTCTGGCCTCTACTTTGGAAGAAATTACTAACTTATTAAAAAACTAGAAGTAGAAAGTGCTAAATTTGGACTTTGAACTACAACAAAATTAAAATTATGGTTATTGATCGCCATCAACAGTTTCCTAAAATCTAAACTATTGTGGTTGTAAGGTAGTCTTCTCTATAATATATCTTGGAGCTTTAGTTAACAACACAAGCCGTTGTTAGTCCAAAATTCAAAGACGCATTTAACTAGCAAGAGCAGCAATAACGGAACTTAATGAGATCTGGCGTTATCGTTACATTACTATGACCAACAAAAACAAACTCGTTTTAACTCAGGTCTTTTCAATATTTTACTATGCCTGCGAGACATGGACAGTCAAAGAATCAGATAGACGACACATAGATGCTTTTGAAATGTGAAGCTCTAAACTTCCTCCTAAAAGTAAATCAACAGTATCCAAAATAATAATAAAGAAATTTTATGAAGCTGGTAGCCTAAAGGATCGTATAAGGTCTAGTAGACCGAAAGCAGCTATTACAGACGATAAAACTTTTGATATTCTAAACGTTCAGGCGTATCCTAAAGTGTCTACGAGTGAACTGGCAAAAAATCATGCCATTAGTAGAAAGTCTGTACAATCCATTTAACATGCACATAAATTTCATCCATACAAAGTGAAGACTCACCAAGAATAATCTTAAGATGATTTTGATGGGCGATAAAAATTTTGTCAAACGGTAACAGAGAAAATAAAGACGCAACACATTTTTTTAGATTGAGTTGTATTCAGTAATGAAGCCACGTTCTGTTTAAATGGTTATGTGAACAGGCATAATTCTCGATACTGGTCAGATCGTAATCCGCACTGAATGGAGGAGATTCATACACAATTTCCAGAAAAAATTAATGTTTGCGGTGGTTTGGTAAAAAGCTATTTAATTAGTCCGTTTTTTATAAAAGGTACGCTGACCGCAGCCAAATATATCAACCTTTTCCAAAATCAAATTGTACTTGCAATCAACCTTTTGTTTCTAAACATGAATATATATTTTCAACAAGATGAAGCATCTCCACATTATCAAAGGGACGTTAGGCAATATTTAAATACAATTTTTCCCAAGAGATGAATTAGTCGAAGAGTTATCAAAGAGTGGCCAGCAAGATTACCCGATTTAATATCACTTGATTTTATACTGTTGAAATTATTAACAATTTTATTCGCAGCTTTCACGATAGATTGTATCATTGTCAACAAACAAATCAAACAAATGGATAACACTTTGAGTACTTGCTGTATTGCATTACATTGCACAAATTACATGTTTAATATGTTTATCAAAGTTTCTTCAATTATTTGGTTAATTATTTATTTGGGTGAAATAAGTTTGTCTTTGACCTGTTACTTAACCTACGTTGCTATATACAAAAACTTCAAGATGGCAGCAATACTAGAAACAATGACGTTATACAAATTTGAATTATCTTGTAAAACATGCAGAATATAATGCCATTTAGTATCCCAAAAATTTGATAATTTTAAGTTAATTCGTTTCAGTCATTGTTTTGACAGCAATAGCTTACCTAACATAATAAATCGTAAAAATATGCTTTTCCATTATACATAATGATAATATTATCTGCAAGTTGTTAAGTTTTTAATGAATTATGAATAAATAAATAAATTTAAAAAAACGCATATTTAAAATTGTCATCTTTTTGTTAGGAATTTATTTTTTTTTACTTTAATCATCATATTTGCAATTTAATTCGGAAGACTTACTTACGGAAAACACCTCTTAACCCTTAGTCTAGTACACAAATTGTTAAGTACTTTTTACTATCAATCATAATTGTCATTTCTGTTGAACTGCGGCTATGTTTTGCTTATCTAGTAATGCCAGGTTTATTTTTAATTGCCCGTTTCCTTTGGAATTAAATTTTTAAATAATGTACTATGATCAGTCCTTTGAAGTACAATGTAATTTATTTATTTAGTAATAATCGTTTTATTTTTAATTACTTATTAAATTCTTATTACACGAATTCAAATACTAGGTTTTCTAACCACTTCATTTTAATAGAGTTTTTTTATGTGTCTTTTGGTTGGTATTTCATTGAAAGCTCCCCTCTCAAGGCCAATTCTAGATCCTCAACTAGTAGAATCAAAGCTATCTTGTAAGATTTCTGAGAAGAGTGAAAGGTTTAGAGAAATGTAAATACAAGACGAGAAATATATAGTCAATCACTGAGAAAATAAAAGAAAACAGAAAAACAGATAAACAGAATGAATGGAGATAGACTAGTTCAACAAATTCTAAATTACAAACCAAAAGAACGAAGTGTAGGATGTTCCTTGAAGATATAGAGCAAATTTTAATGCAGGAACGGGCATGTCTTTGAGATATCGATTAGCTTCTCATGTGTAACCTTATCAAATGCCTTCTCGAAGTCAAAGAAACTACACATCGCAGTTGACATCCCTGGCTCTCTGTATTAGAATTTGCAAACTAAAAACTGCTGCCCTCGTTCCGTAAAAATTGTCAAAAATTCAGGTGTTCTTCTAATTTGGTGTATATGCGCGAGTGGATGATAGTAAGAAGAAATTTAAGTATAATTAAGTATAAATTTAAGTATTTTTTTTATACATGGCTTATTAAACTTATTAATCTACGTTCTTCACATTTAGTAGCGTTGGCTTTTTTAGGAAATGGAATGAATATTGATAGCAACCAGTCTTTTGGTAGGTAACCAGTTTAGTAGATAGTGCTGAATAGCTTCGTAAGAGCTGTGATTTGGTGTGCCTCTAATAGCTTTAAAATTTCACCATGCATCTCATCAGGTTCTGGTAATTTCCCATCTTTAATCCGCTCAATGGCCATAGTTACCTCATCGATTGTTATTTCTCTGCCCTAGGGATTGTTTATTTCAGTTGGACTTCGTGCTGCATCTTCGAATAATTCTTGCATATATTCTTTCCATCTTAGTAATTTATCTTCTTCTTCTTTGAGTGCCTCTCCTATTGGAGATTGGATATCTTTAG